CTTAGCGGAAAATTATTTTCCGATATTTTCATGCAGGACAAGCCATTGATAACAGGAGTTCCACTCCAGATACGTTTTGTTGTGCATAAACCAGAATTTTATTTACGCGATTGGGCAAATCCGGTTACCAATGAATATAGGCTGTTTATACGCAACCCGAGAATTTTCGTACGACGTTATGTTGGTAAGCAAGGGTTGATAGAAGTTATTTATTCCAACTGAAAAAAATTTACCAATTTTCTTTCAAAAAGTTCACTGCTGCGAGCTGGTTCGCGCTGTGTGTTCGGATGCGACTTGTGCGAGAAATTGACTGTTTAGTAATAATTACTAATTATTAATTACTACAGTTTAATTATTAAACTGCTAGCAGTTTTTATAACAGTTAGCGGCAGCAAATTATGATGCAGGAAATTCGTATTCCTTCGTTTTAATTTACACTGGAAGTTTGTTAAGGTCGATTTTCAACAAAATTGAGCTGTCATAGCGGGCCACCAAATCGATTAAAAAAACTGTAAATTCTGGTACAACTTTTTTTTGTCCGTATGAGAAATTTACTACACCCATGTCGAAAACTGGATTTTGCGGGCTAAGGTGTACATTTCCTTTGCTTGAAAATTATCTAAAACAATGCAAAGCTTCTTGGGGTGCCCAAGGTAAACATCTGAATGAATGCGAACGAACCTGGTGAAATTAATTTTAAAATAATTTCGGAGACATTTTCCATAAGCGAACCATGATATCTTTTCACTGCAGTATCTGTCCCGATTTTATTTCGCGAAATATGCGTTGGGATGACCTTGCTAAAAACCTGATTTATACGATACTGTACCTTGAACAACAACTTGCTGTCTCTTTAGTGTTAAAGACTTAAAGTTGCTGTTACAAGAAACACTTCTTTTACTGATTTAAATCATTCAGCTTGTTCAGGTACTTCAAGTATTTGAAAGTATTTAAATGCTAAATATGTACCTCAAGTGCTGTAAGCCTTCTGCCAAGACCAAAATTACTCGTTTTTAACGGCACTGAACTGCCCGCGGTTACAATGATCACTAGGACGCTGTTGTGCTGTTAATCCGTGACAGTGTCAAGAGGCTGTTCATGGTTTTGTGAGTGCAATGAACTTCATAAAGGTTATAACACAGACCTACCGGCAAGCATGGCCTTATGGGCTTTCAAAAGTTATGAAGTCTAACTGAAGTCTAACTGGTATAATTAAATTGATGGTGGTTTGCGATAACTAAAGGTCACGCTCATGTTGTCTTATGAGAGATTTATATACTGTATATTATGGTCATTGCATGAAAAGGCTACGTCTTCCTACGTATACTCTAAATACATACAGACTCGGTACATTTAGATCTGTAGATATTCAAGGCCAGATATAGGCTACTGTTCCCTATGTTCATTGTTACAGTAATTGTATCCCATGCTCACTACCGGCACATGTATCGCTAATGTACATTTGCATCAATCCGCGTTATCTATTAAAAATCCACATTAGAGTTGCAAAACCCACGAAGCTAATGCCATCTTCCAACCTTTAACCCTTACAACAAATAATAATCTTAATAAATAATTTACAATGTTAATCTTCAGTTAACGGCCGGACCGTTTCCGGTTACTCCACCTACGCATCCGGCCGGCATCCAGCAGCCATTTCCATACCAATTTTGAATTTTACCCACCAGCTTAACAATGGGCTTGATGGAAAGTAAACAGAGCCACCGACGTGAACAACCCACCGGGAAGACATTAGCAAAATTCATAGATAAAATATAGGGCAAGAACTCAGTTTTTCATCTTAACAATAAACACGCAGATCCCCTTTTTGTTCATTCACAACCGGATGATTTCTTGAAATTGTTGTCATCGCTATCGTTAATTAAACTGCATAACCGTAAGAATTACGTGCCTATGACTGCGATAATAACCAACAGAAAAACGCTGCAACTGCTTAAACTGATCAATAGTTTTTATTGCACTCGTAAACTGCTGTATAGCATAATTATGTATTAGTATCCGTATAATGTGTACTGCTTTACCACTCCTTCATTCACAGATTTTTAGAAAGGCTAAGAAACCATGTTCAGCAACGACGAGCGACTGTCGGTTGATGTTTGTGCTTCACTCCGCACCTGTAGAGCATCCTGTGTACACTTCCAGGTAATCCAGTCCCCGTTAACGGTCAACAGCAGCAGTAACGCCCATAACTGCAGCCACTCTGGGATGAATAGCTGCACCAGTGGATACGGTAGGAAGAATTAGAACAAAATGCGCCGGACCAGAGCCGCCCCGTAGGCGACGATGCCGACGCCCCAAGGACAAAAACAGTGGTCGCTTTTCTTTGGGTAGCTTGAGGTGCTCTCCACGAAGACAGCGGTATCGGCAACGGAACCGGTAGCATCCGGACCGGTTGTCTGTGAGCGGCCGTTGCTTATCGGCTCTTCACCATTACCAGCCTGGATTCCGCGGTCCGTTCTGGCTGAACTGCATGCAAAACGATTTATGCCAATTTTAACTGGCCATCCAATCTACCATAAGTGGTCTAGAGGAGGATTTTATGGCACAAAAATTGAAAAAAATTTAGCGCGATAACTACAACTTATCATCAGTGCGTTGCTGCCAATTGCCAAGTTACGCAGATGGGAACTGATACGCTGGATCGTTTGTGGAATCTCCGCTGTTGTATTCGGGGTTATGGCACTCGCATTTGGTGTATATGTAGTTTATTTCGGTGGACAGCAATAGATTTTATTGGTGTCCATTGAATTATAAACTACAAGATCACTCTGGGCGTTTTCGTGGGAAAACTCAGCCCCATCCAGTATGTCGTTATGTTACTAATCGAATTCCTGAGTGTCGTGGACACTGTCCGCGAGGACCCTCTACGATCATTTGTTACTAAAAGATGCCGTTGACATCATCATCATCCACTTTTTTGGTGCGTACTTCGGTCTAGCCTTGTCCCGCGCACGATATATTGCGCTGCCAGTTTTCCGACAGACTGGAAAGAAATGCGCCGCTTTTCCGATCTATTCTTTACGGTAGGGACACTGTTCCTCTGGTTGTTGTGGTCCAGTTTCAAACCGGTTATGGCTATGGATGACGGGCGATACCGGGCGGTGTATGACACGTATTTCGCCACTGCTGCCAATTGTCTCGGTGAGTTCATGGTATTGGTGTCCACGTTCGCCAAGCATGAACAATTTTGCCCGGTACTTTTATACCATAGTATGAGCGTACATACAATTTTTGTTTGATGTACTGTGTTTCGCAAGGAACGTAACAAATCTGTTTCAAAATATTGCTATATTATAAATGCACTAGAAGACCCCGCGCAAAATACGCGGCATAAAAAAAACTTGCTGTCACAATTAGTTTGTGATGAGCTACGCGAAAAATTACGTTAATTTCGCTTTTCCAAGTAAGTGCGTCTATCAGAATTCAACTTCTATTGCTAAAAGGGTCGTGAACCTTCCCGGAAACGGTGTTTTTTGTTTCTACCCCGTTTCCGGGAACGAAAATGTCAATTAATGTTAAAAGTTTTCCTGTGTATCGTATCTTAACAGGCTTGTACCTACAGTTGCGTCGTAATTGGAGGGTAGACACACGCCGGGGAAAACTATGTTATAGCTTGGTAAAGGCCCGCATTTTAAACACAATACGCGACTGCTACGAGACCTTTAACTGCGTTTACCCACCGCTACCGCACATCTTCCCGCCCATACCGCACCACTAACACCACTAAGCAGTATCGGAGGGTATAGGTGGTAAGAGGGGCAGTATCGGCGGGTACAGGAGGTAAGAGGTGCAGTATTGGAGGGCAAAGTGGAAAGAGGTGCAGTATCGGCAGGTAAAGGTGATAAGAGGTGTAGTATCGGCGAGTATAGGTGGTAAGTGGTGCAGTATCGGTGGGTATCGGTATCGGCATGTAAACTTGTTAAGCTTTAACCCTTAATGGCCTGACATCGTAAAACTGATACATCACAATTGAAAACGAACTGTACACACCGTACAACCTTAAATTTGACGTTTTTCTTCCGTGGTATATTGCTATGTCGACACCTGCAGCATACTTCTTGCCATTTTTGCAAATTTTAGAAGATAATGGTTTATGAGAAAAACAGATGTATCAAGATGATACATGTTTTGCCGGAAGTAAGTCAAATCTCTAGCTCAAATTAATGGCACAGCACTTGCAGATTAGATAAATCCTGGCTGCTGCACAAGCAATCGACGCTCCTAGCAGGCACGTTTCAAAAGTGGTACGTTTGTTAACAATCGTGAAAAAAATTCTGATCCGCGGCGGTGTCCTTATGCCGGATGAGGATACAAGCCGGCATCCAAAAATAAAATTTCTTTTGTCCTACAGAATGGTCAGCGCAAGAGAGAGCATTTAAGTTCTGTCCATGTACTGGCTGCGTAAGTAGGTCTCCATGCGCGCACTGTGTGCTGAATGCGTAGAGGTCCAGTAGCCTGCCTGTGCCTCTTTCAGATTTATTCTCTCACTCATTAGCTAGCAGCGCTAAACAGACCAATGCCTATCACTAGTATCAGTTTGATGCAGTTAGGCGTTATCGGATAAAAATATGTCAGGCCATTAAGAGTTAAGCAACCATAGTTTTCCCCGGCGTGAGCCTACAATGGAGGGCATAATTGCGTTGTCGGTAATACGGTCTAATCAATATCGGTACTGTAGCGGCTCCACCAAGTTATACCACAGAGTTTGTGCGCGGGAAAACGGTACCCAGAGTGTGTGCATTCACTGTGCAGGCGAATGCACGGGCATGCACACGCTGCGTGGGTGCAGTTTTCCCGTGCACAAACTCTGTGGTATAACTTGGTAGAGCCGCTACAGTATAAATCAACAACCAAAGGGGATAAAGCTGATGATACGTTTAACTGATATTTCTTGGCGAATGCCGAATGCCGATCATTCAAATTCACACACACTTTTCGCGCAAACCACAAAACCGAAAACATTTTGTTTACAACTTTTGGTGAGTTTAGGCATCAATCACAAAGATTTAACAGCAGCTAATCATTCGTTAACACCTGACAGGTTGCGGCTCTCCCCATGTCACTGTGGTCATCCAAGCGGTAAGTACAGTAACAAATTGTTGAGCTGTTCAGGTTGCTCTGTGGACAAAATAACAAAAGCGCCTACATGCAGATTCCGCCGTACACGACAATAACAAGCCATAGATGAAACATTATTTATAAAAAACATTTAGGTAGATGAGAATTACTTCTCTAATGAAAAAACGCCAAATAAATGAAAAGGAATAAAATATGATACACGCTGTAAAACTGCGATTCAAGTTAGCTTTTACCAACAGTAGACAAATTTACGTCCGTAATAAAACTGTACGAGTACGTTGAAGGGATTCTTTTGTGTAAATTATTTTAAGGCTTAATTAATGCATTTAAATTCCAGAAATTTGTAAGTGTATTGCGTATGAGGAATGCATTGACATTCAGCAAGTATACTCTGTTGTTACAGATATCAGATTGTACCCTAGGAAATGATTGTCGACATCCACCACTGGCTGCCGATAGATGGGGTCGGCGCACGCATTTCCTTCCACAACTTAAGAGCCTCTTGCAGAAGCTTCCAGCTCATCCAGGCCCCAAAGACGGTCAACAGTAGGAGTAATGCCCACACCTGCAGGGCTTCCGGGACCACTAGTTGCACCAGCGGAAGAGGCAGAAAGTACCAGCTCAAGCCTCGCCGGATGGCAATCGCAAGGCCGGCGATGATGCCGGCGAACCCGGAACACGAGCAGCCATCGTGTTTCCCTGGGTTGCTCGGTGAATCCTCCACGAGGACAGTGGTTGCGGACGCTGAACAGGCCGCATCCATATCGGTCATACGAATGCAATCGGTGCCTATTCCCGACGCCTCTTGCGGCTTTTCGTTTGGATCACTTGGGGTTTCATCGATTATGGATACGCTGCATAAAAGCACCCACTTTAGGTTATTGTTAAAAAAGACATAATTATGATCGCTTCAACTGCGATCAAGTGATTCTACATTCGTAGAAGATGTACGCCTGTGAAAGACCGTGCAGTCGCCGGTATCTGTGATGCCAAAATTGGCACAAATTAAAACAAACCGCTTTTCGATTATGTACAAGCTTGTCCGGTACTTTCTAACGTAAAGGTACAGATATCACGCTTGTAATAACGCGGAGCTTGCGCTACGATACCATCGTCCGATCGCTCAAACAGGAGACCGCGAAAACCAAAATATTTTATAATAAAACAGCTCCAGACATGTACTGTAATTTATTGTACTCCATATACATGTACTCCAGACAGGTACGCATTATTGCAGCGAAAATAAATTAATTCACGAAATGCGCCAAACTCCATATTTGGGCGCGCCACGCTACCATTTTAAATAATTGGGCGTTTACATGCATCTGGCATGGCTGGTCCATAGTAGGTAAATAATATTTATGGGATTATTCTGTTCCCTTGTGTGTATATCATTAAAATTCTTGAAATTGTCATTGTAACTTGTTATTGTGTATGTAAACGTAATTCAGTGGCAAAAATTCTTCGAATAGTAATAGTAAGTCGTACTGTATTCCTGTCAATATGCAGTGGTATCTTGAGCGGATACCCCTACAAACCTGCTCTGGTCTCGATCTTCGCCGGACAGCTGCAGAGTGCAGAGGTTTACCATCGCGATGATGCTGCTGGGTATCGGTGCCACCATAATCATGAGAGGCAGTACCCAGATCCACTTTTGAAGTAACGCATCGGTTAATGGTGAATGACTGGTGGTGAACAACGACAGCAGCCCCGGATGGCTGGTGTTCCAGCGCGGATAACCCAAATCCATCCAATATGAAAGCATTGCGTGGGAGTGTGCCATACCCTGTTGTGCCAAAGCTCATATTTTAAAGATCGTTGGATTGTTGCAGTTCATGTTTTACGGATTGTGGCATCGTATAACCCGCAGTACACTGTGTAACGTGGTGTTGTATTAGCGCTCCAAATAGTTGCAATGCCTAGTGAGTTACATAATATTATGTCCTGCAAAGGATGTTGTCCGTATGAAAAATACTTCCAAAATCACTCAGGTCCATTACCGCACCTTCTAGGCCGCGGCTAATTCGGTAACCAACTAACCATAATTGACAGAAGTCAGCAGTTAGTTTCACGTTAGCAATGCTGTTTTACTGGACTTTTGTGCACTGTGTCCTGTAGCAAACCTCCACAACAGCTATATATATTTATGTGTACCCGGTATACCTTTTGCATTTATCTGTACAGTTGTCGGACTTTTTTTACTATTAGTCATTGCGGGGAAACTTACGTGGTGGGAATTATTTTAAGACAATCAAATTACATGTAGCAAAACAGTTTGAGTTTGAGAATCTAAAGGTACAAACTGAGCGGCCGAATTTAAATTTCGCTTACCGTTTCATAGATGGTGCAATACGTTTCGGCGATGCTATGATTTATATGATTTCGAAAATGTTGTCTCCACCGCTCCCATCCATGACCCCAGCCATCCGTGGAAGGCATGGCAGATTCCAGAGGGTCTACAGCCTTGCTCGACGCCATTAGCAATAAAGACAGGGTGGCCCATTTTACCGGGAAGAGACATACTCGTTGAAACAGTGCTCTCTTCACTTTCTCCATCGGCTGACCTTTTATTTCTGCCGCTGCCAGCGGAACTGGCTGGACAATTGAAGCGTCCACCACCAACGTCATACCGCACATTCGCCTGACATATAAAAAACACCCTGCTGAAAATCTGAAGCTCAACGCGCGATGTTAATGATTTCATAAAGCGCAAACTTTCCAGCAGATGTATGTCGTCCTGGCGAAGTGAGCAAAGTAAATCTTTGTCATGAATACTTCTTTTATAAAGCAAGACACTTTTTTATCATATTATCAAGATTTTTTTATAAAGCAGGATATTTTAACAGTTTAAAATTCAAACCCTGTTAACCGCACCAGGTGCGGCGCACCTTAATTTCTTGTTTATCCAGCCGAAATACGTTTCGTTCATCCAGAAGCCCCAAATTCGGCCGGTGCAATAAATGCAGAGAACGCACACGCACAGCACAGAGCACGGGAACACGGTCGCTGGACCGATGGTGTAAATGACCAACCAAGCAGCGGCGCCGCTCACTAGCACCACGGGTAGTGCCCACAGCAGCAGCCACGCCAGAGGAAAGACCAAAAGGCCAACACCGAGAGCCACCCCAAGACAGATGCTGGAGAACCAGGTCGGCAGCTCAAATAGCGAACCAGTGAAGAGGGTCGAAATTCGCTGACAGCGGAAAATGTGCTGAGTCCATTTCGGATATTTCCAGTTCCGGTTGACTATTAACGAACATCCAACGGAAGCCGTAAGGATGGCTGTCGTGCAGACGATAGCAATGACGGCGACGTATCCAAGGCGACGGCGGTGTTCTCCATCCACCGGAAACGGCACGACTGCGCTATCACCGACGGTGTCGAGGCCTAACGGCATCCATGTGAATACGAGGTCATCCCACATACAGCCGCTCATTGGCTATCACAAGTAATAAAGTGATTATTTTAGATGAATGTTTATGCTGTCACCTTTTAAGACGTCAGACGTCTTTCTGAAGCGTAGCGTTGATGGCCGTCAGAGCAATGGCATTTTGTAGCCGTCTAATTTATGTGTGTTGTTACACCCGCTTCCTCATTAGATATCAACGTCCGTACTGTAGGAACTGCACAGAAACGTCCGTACTGTAGCGCGGGGACTTGAACGAGAGCTTTTGCTTCTGCGCACCACCAAACACGCTTTTGCGTAGTCAATTGATTTGTACAAAATTCAGGTGAAAAATCGTTCGGCCGCGAAACATTCGTTTGGGGAGTTACAGGAGACAAAAATTCAAAAAATAATATTATAAATGTAAACAGTGATTGATGAATGCGCGAAAGTTCTAAGCATATCATCCGCCGTTAGCTATAATACGAAGCTGATACCGACACCGACTACGTCACTTCGAGAGATGGAGGTTCATTTATGCATGTAGAAAAAGGAGGATGCACACTGAAAGATCACGACATCAAATCACATCACATCCCATCACGGTCACATCGGTAACGTCTGTCACCTAAGTAGTAAGTAAAAATTTTAAGCCTGCAATATGGTGCTACTTTTTTTAATTTATATAATAATAAACACAATTAATAAAAGGAAACCGTCATAGGCACCCCCTAAAACCCTTGTTTCTTATAGGAAAACCTTTTCGCATCCTGTTTATTATAGTGACCTACTTTTGATTATTATCGTACATAGTACTTTATCACCCGAGACGTTTAAGCTGTCCTTAAGGGATTGGCCCGGTACACCGTACATAGCAGTGATAGCACCAAATTCGTGTACATCGACGGGAACTTTTGCTGTCGCGCAGTTCTAAACACGTTTTTGCATTGCTTGATGTTATTTGGCCGCCCATGGATTTTTATACGTAGGCGTGAAATGCGTTTGCGCGCGCGTGCAACACTGGTTGGAAAGACAGGAAAGTTATGGGTGAATCAAAATTCCAAAAAGTTTATATGCATTCAGATGTACCAAAAGTCTCAATATGGATCAATTTTCTTTAAATTTTGCATATAAATGCACAATTGTCATATTCATGAAAATCGTTTTATCACCAAACCACGGCGGTTCTAGCATTTTTTTTAAATTTTAAATTGAAAATTAAAACTTTTGAACTTCTTTTTAAAAATTCGGAAAAAATGGTGCAACTCTGGTTTGGTGTAAAAACGGTTTGTACACAGGGGTTCATTTGATTGCAGAATTTGAATTTGATTGGTTTATAATGACGCTTTGGTGCACCTGAATGCGTTTGAACTTCTGGAATGTTGATTGAACCATAACCATAAGTTTCCAACCGGATGTTGCGCGCGCAAACGGGTTTCACACCTACGTAACAAACCCTTGGGCTGCCAAATAATATCAAGCATTGCAAAAAAAGTGTTAGTAGGGCGCGACAGCGAAAGTTCCTGCGGATGTACCTACACGAATTTGGTGCTACGTACCGGGTCGAATCCCCATTTACCGAATCGTCCTATTGTTGACTGGAAAGCCTGATGTACTTAACCCGCCGCTAGAGAAGAACATTATTGTAAAAATTACTGGGAAAATCAAATTATTATGTGAATAAAGCTGCATTACCTAAGATCTTTAAATACCAAGATTTAATACAAAAAAGACAATTCAAAAAGGTTTGAACGAGTACTTCGTTTAGGTATTTGTAAATACAAAATAAAACCATTAAAAAATAGGAAATTTAATGATATTATTTACAGTAATAGGGCTAATAATAGTAAGTTAATTTTGGTGCCAGCCAACATCGGAATGCTTCACTAGGTAGTAGGTAGTACCGCATATAAACGATGGCCTTTCCACATTATCACCGAACCGAACACTTTCGCTACTCCAGGCTCCGAAAAATTTCGTTTTTTGCAAAAAGACAAAGCAACCCTTGGTGCACTTAAAAAATATTTTCATCGGCCATTGTTGAGTGGACGTGGCCAAACTAAAATTCCAACAGTAACGCATCCAGTACTATTTACTAAGGGAATACCGTAAAAGTGTACCGTATCTGACATTTCAGATGTTTTTACAAATTCGTGTAATCAGTAGTCAGATCTTTTTGATAATTGTTGTAAAACTTACTACTGTTAAGTAAATTACCGAGAAGAATTACTCGTACTGTATATACAGTATTAGCATGCACTGGGAAATGGAGAAACGTCCCGCAATAGAGTATCACAGACACGTTGGCACAAATTAATAGACTACGCGTTATCGCTACCCACTAGCTCCACAACTTTCTAATTTTTCTTGATTATTAACAGCAGTAATTTTTAATGAAATTAAATAGGATCGGACTACTGATAACACGTATTTCTTGCCAACCTCTGACATTGTACGCTAACCTGTTACGGTACTTACTCCCGATACATGCTGCTGCATGTATTAATGCCATTGGAATAAAGTTTAGCCACGCGTACTTAACCATTGCCGATGAAAATATTTTTTTAAGTACACCAAAGGTTTACCCGGTCTTCGTGAAAAAAAGGAATTTTTCCGGAGCCGGGAGCAGGTGATGCATGGCCCTGGTCAGTTCGAAAATTCTGCTAGATGAGAACTATGCCGGTTATTTGACCATACGAAAGATTGCCGTCGCGAAATTTGCCTGCGCTACAACTGCCAAAGCGCCGTTGAAGCAAACCACGTCTTAGCATACGCGCACTTTACCAATTCATTAAGTTAGAGCAGTGCACGTAGTGATGTGCTGTCGGTGGATCATTTGGATGTAAGTATTTCCATGACAACTGCCGTAAACCAACTGCCGTAGCTTATACTGTAAACTCAGCACCAAGTGTCAAAATACACGGAGCTTAAAAAGTTCCGAATACTTCCAGAATCCAGATATTATTATTATGTGTTGGTTTCACAAAGGGGTACCCGCCTTCGGTGGTTAGCATAATGAGTACTGATGGGCTTATGAACGCTTAGAAGTGTTTTTTCTTTGTACCATAATTAAATTAATTTATTCTCCTGTTTAATTAACGATGAAGCAAGTAAGTATAAAGCCAGCCATGCTACGCCAAGTTCGGACAATTGTGAAAGATGTTTATTAGGAAATCGGTCAATACACATAAGTGACATAACAATTCGCGTGCGCAGCTTTACACTAATTAAAAGCAAAAATTTTAAAATAAATTATTGTGAAATAAATTATTAAGTACCGAAGTACTTAATAATTTATTTCACAATAATTTATTTTAAAATTTTTGCGTCGTTTCGTTTTTCGCTTTGCAGCTTCCGGTGTAACTTTTTATGGGCAATTCAAAAGCCCGAAAATCGAAATCTATAAGTCAATTAATAACGAGCCATGCGGTTAACATTAAGGGGGGTGGCACTGAGAAATTTTTGGGTGTTTATTCTACTACTACAGACTAATTAATAATAATATTGATTAATAATTCTAATTTTACTAATTTTTATTCTAAGTATTAATTCTAATTCTTCTATTCTAATTCTACAGATTACTTTGCGTCATCGGTGATCGAGGTGGCCTTGAAACAACTTTTATCTCTGTATGTTATACAGACTTGTATGTTATAGCGCACATACCGAGTTACGTGGCTGCCTAGCGCAGAAGCGTGTGTGACCTCGAGCTGATATATTACGTAGATGGAAAATTCACTTTCACTTTAACCATGCCCACAGTCCCACTGCAACGGTCACGCAGGACTCTTTGAAAACGAACGATGGTTAACGTATTTCACAACAGCATTGAACGACAAGCACGTTAGACTTATTTTTTGACGTCACTAAGTTTTCTGAAACTCGTACAGATACAGCTGACCTGGTGTTTTCAGCTTATCTGTACGACTGAAAACTTCTTCAAGGGCAGTAATGTTCAGCCATATGGATAAGCTGAAAACACTCTCGGGGATCTAAAAAATCGAAAGTGCTATGGTGCTAAGCGCTAGGAATTTTCTTAGCTCATAGCCGTGACCATAAAAAATACAGACTGGAACTTCAAAAAATTATTTACAGGCAACTGGATGCTTTGCTGCCAAACGGTTTTTGCGCCAATGTATCCATATTATCTGGCTACTGAATGTCTTAAGACAAAGTGAAATGTTTCTAGACCGAACACGAAAGTTAGCTTTTGTGCCCGCGCAATAATTTGGCGTCATGTACCGGGTCACTTCCATTAATACCAACGGGCGTTTCATCACTGAAAAACACGTGGTATACAATATATGCGAATATATTATATGTGAAAATAGAAAAGAAAATAATTACTCGAAGGTTGCTCAAAGGTCCGAGCTAATATAGAAGTACGGTACAAATATTAAAAGTACATTATGGCTGCGTGCACGGGTAAACACGGGCGTTGGCAGTGTGTACGCGGGGCCGTCGCGAGGGCCCCCCTCCCCCCGCGGGAAAAAAGTGTTAAATTTCCCAAATAAAATTTACAAAATTTGACGCCATATTTTGCCCTCGGGGAGAACAATAGCGCGCCCCGCTTTTTCGTTTCTTCGCCAGTCGTTTGATTTTTTCCACTTAACAAAACTTAAAGGCACCAGAAAAACGGAATGGAAACGGCCACAAAATTGTTGTAAAAAACAAATAAATCGTTGACCAATTCAACTACGGTAATTAGGCGCTTTTAGAGTCAGTGGTCTCGTTGCTCTGTAGCGCTCTATAAGATTCAGCGCTGTACCATTGGTAGATTCACTTTTACAGAACTCCCGGCTCTGTAACTTACAGAACGCCTTTAAAGTGCTTTTCGAGTAGTACTATTATATCAAAAGTACTGTGTTACCCGCTAATGCTCATTAGTGCAGCCTGTGAATTACTTGAAAGCCACATCAAGAAAACTGGAATATCAAATCAGCCAACACGAAAACTTAAACAAGTTCAATTTAAAAAGCCGTGCACACAGCCAACACCCATGTTTCCCTGTGCACGCAGCATCGGATTAAACTATTTCAAGGCTTTCTGCTTTGTCAGTACAAATACCGGAGTGTGGTGCAACTAATATTCCGGAAAAGCAGAAAACAGCTTTTTATGGCGAGTAAAAAAGGTGCACAAAGTCGGATACTGGATATTCTCCTAGACTTAAGCATTGAATCAGCGCTCAGTAAACGTTATAACATTACTTACTTACACCAGTTTCTTTTGGCAACTACAGAGTACTGTAATAGAAAATCCCCACACCGAAAATGCATTAGTAAATGCTGTGAATAAGCATCCATATTTAAAATTCCATTAAAAAGCTTAAATAAAATTCGAAGAAAATCATTCACCATTGCACATTCAATGCGGCGCGGTGGGCAATGTGGTAGGCGAATTTAAATCGTTTGGGCGAGATACTTTGAACCAAAAAACCTAAAGGATGGTGAAGTATGTAGTATATTGCTGCAGAAACAGAGTAGAATTTTTCGCAGTTATGTACATCAAAATATTGTTATTTTCACGCGAAGTCAGCGAGCGTTTTTCCAGAAAAAATCATTAAAAAATTCCTTGGGAAATGGTAGAAATGTTTTCGAATTTCTCGAAGTAAAAGTTAAAGGTCAAAAATGATGTATCATGTACAGGTCCAAAGAACAATTGCAAGATTCGCGTGAAGCCCATGCTTTTCTAATGCTCAAATTGTTAAAAATTCTATATAAAACGCTAAATTAGAGTATAATATCTTTCGGGTACATAATTTTTTTGAGCACACCATTTATGATTAATTAAATGAGTAAGTACACTCTGCATTCTCCAACATTTGCGCGCACTATGAGAAATACGGTGAACTTTATATTTCGAACGAAGACTTTAGACTGAGTAAATGAAGTATAGTAAAGATCTCCAGAGCTTCATTTGCGCGGAGCGGAAAGCCAACAAACGGTTTTACTGCAAAAATCGCTAGAGTATGAATGCAATAAAAAATGTTTTTTTTTCTTTAATTTTTTTGCAAAACCAGCTTCTGCATTATCGGAATAGCAGTACTTCACTTCTTTATTTTCTTAAAGTACGCACTTCTTCAAAAATTCCGGAGTGGCTCGTGCCTCCGTGCCACCCTCTCTTAATTCATCATTGTGACAGTGGGGGCGCAACAGAAAAAACTGTATAAGCTGAATGAAGTAGCGGAGTCTGGCCAGTGCCGCTCTACAGTAGAGCGGCACTGGTCTGGCGTAAGGAAAAAAGCATGTACGGGTACAGTATGTTGCTAGATACCGACAGGAGGATTCCAGCGGTCAGGCCTGCTAGTAAGTAGAGATGGGCAAACTAAAATTAGTCGACTAATTAACGGTTAACTTCGGTTAACCTGACCAAAACTAAAAAAATTAGTTTAGCAAACTTTGGTAACTAAAAAATTTAGTCAGAAGCTTTTTAGTGACTAAATATTTTAGTCAAGTCGATTTTAGTTACTAAATCTCCACGGTTAACCGGTTAACCAAAATTGTGTGGTTAGGGCCCTAACAAACCAAGCCCAAATGTACAAAACAAATTCATTGGTGCATTACACGCCTTCCCTGTACTCAGTACTGCTCTAATAATCGCCTCAAGTATGACCAAATGACGAAACTACGGGCGGACGACTGCAGCAGTACCAGGAGGTGTGTAATGCATCTTGATTTACGGCTATATTATTCCAGTGTCTGAGTGAGCCGCACTAAATGACTGTTTATATACGTGTACTGGAAAGTTTAAGCTCGTTTGACTCGACAACCATAGGCGTACGGCGAAATGAGCAACATATTTTTACAAATGACAATAGCCTGGACGCAGTAAATTACACTTAATTTGAAAACCGAAAAATTTAATTTTAGTCTCGGTTAACTTTGGTTAACCGGTTAAAAATTTTAACCAACTCGTGGTTAACTACTAAGAAATTTAGTCGCCAACGTTTAGTTGACTAAAAGTTTTAACCAAGTCAGTTTTAGCAAATAAAACTTTTAACCGAGTTTTAGTTTAGTTTAGTTTAGTCAGTTTTAGTTTGCCCATCTCTACTAGTAAGTAATGTTTCTATGTAGTAGTTACAGTACAGGCTTGGCTTGTTAATGTGCATTGTAAACTTGTAAAAACCATCGAAACGCATGCAGTGCCATGCACAATTATTACTATGTAGTAAAAAGTCTATTCATTTCTTGTGCATCCTGATAATATTACATCAGACAGCGATGGGAGGACCCCCCGGCCCCCAGGGGCCAAACAAATTTCAGGGAAGGTAAAAAAAAAACTATATCATAACCATACAATCCAGCAGTGCTGTCATCCAGCGCTCTTACTTACACTTACTTACCACATCGCACCCATTGTCATGCAAGTACTGTACGGTACGGTTGCACTTTATTATGGTTGCTATGTAACGTACAATGCGCAGTACAGCACCGCAGTACGAAACTCCTGCGCATAGCCACTTCGACTCACATATCCCAGTTTTGCCAGAAGGTCGTCAAAATCGGTCTGGGCATCGGGATCCACCCGCGTGTTACGCCATTCCGGGAAAAATCGCGTCCCAAGTTTAAATGCAATCTGCAGCGCGAACCACAGGACCACCAGCGCTTCAGTAATAATCTCCTGATACACCCAAAGGTGATCACGGCTGAGGATAGGCCTTATCGTCTTCGGATATTTCACCATTGTTAGTGCCGGTTAAGCGGTGCGGCAATGTCAGGCGAAAGCCTGGGTTGCGTTTAGAAAGCAAGCGAGAATCTTTTAAAACTCTAACACAGCTTCCGGTTTTTATGACGGTTAAATACGCAAAGACACTCCTTTTTTCAGTTTACGATGAGCTGAGGTCTTACCACCGCGCTAAAACTGCCTACACAGGAAGGTCCGTTGCATCGCTGTGGTTTCTAACTCCGCCTTCACTGACGCAACTATACCTGACGCTATTCACGATCACTATTGTACACACATAGTGCATGAGACTGGTGCAATTTTCCTACCACATCCATTGGCAAAATCGATATGATAGTTTTGCTGCTGGCAGTACAGTACATGTTACGCTACAGAGTACTCTAGATAAAAATACAGATCTCTCTGAATTAAAGAATTAATTTCCCTGTGGCTCTTTTCTCATCGCCTTTTTGGAGTCGTTTAAATCCTTTTAAGCAATAATAATACAGTAAATCGCGCATGTCGGAGAGTGGTACTGCGAAAACTCTTACTGTTACAATACCAAAGGTCACGATGGCATTAGCACAAATTCTTTACCTGCGCACTGCGAGTCGATGCGCATTCCTATGCCGTGGTGCAGCAAGATTATTAAGTGAACGTGTGAAGTTTTCAATTTCTGTTGTTTTACATATATCGCGCAAACAAATCTGATCGACTACTGCGATAAGGAAATACGCGGCCGTCCTCCGAACATAAAATTGTTTGATATACTGTCACTATTCTGACTTACCCACTGCAGAAGGTGACTGCAAATTAATATCTTTCCGGCACGCTAAGCGAGCTTTAATCAGTAAAATATTGATTACAAGACATCGGTAATACGCGTAGATTTTAGCACCAGAGACCTGTTTGATTTATTGATCTCGGTTCTTTGACGCAGATGCTACCATTATCGTATTAACTAGTCCAAAGGCGAAATTAATCACTCTATGCTTTTCCTGTAAAGAGTGGCACCGGATTCCAGCGCTATTTTGAGAGCACGCACAATCCAAGGCAGTTACATCTGCCAAAGTTAATCCTTATAAAGGTTCTATCGGCTAAAAGATTAATAAAGTCATGAAATCATCAAAGGGAATTTCACAGTTGTTCGCATTTCTTTATTAGTACAATTTTTCAATTATTGCAGTTAGACGTGTAATTATGGTGTACCATCGATGAGGGAGATCAAATTATTACTTCATGAAAAACGAGGTTATAAGCATTCTGTTAGTAAAAACAATCATCATGATCGATATGTGAAGACAAGGCATTATCGATTACTGCTAATAAGTATCTTTCATGTGAGAAATACGTAATTAATATAGTTATAAACGATCGCCGATTCAATAAGACCTATTAGTGATTTCCAGCTGTGCTCGATGCAGTGATGCTCAGTTGCTCATCGCTATTCGATGACTTCCGGTGAGCCGTTGACGACGGTCATAGACACCGTATATGACGAAATTGTACGTTCATCATCAAAAGTAATACTGTAAGTGCATACATACTCTTATGAATACAGTGTGTGGCATACAATAATTAGTTATTTTCAGCGAAAATTATTTCTAGCTTTGAATATTGTATTAGCAAGTTTTACTAGCTGTAGGCGTAGAGAATTAATACGTAATGCAGAATTAGATAGATCATAGATCAAGACATGATGTCCGTCCACCATGGCTGACTATTGGTTGGAGTTCCCGTATATGTTTCCTTGTGGAATTGGAGAATATTGTGTAGGAGTTTCCAATAAATCCAGGCTCCGTACGCGGTTAGCAGTAACATGAGCGCCAACAGCTGCAACGGCTCCGGAACAAGCAGCTGTACCAGCGGATAGGGCAGAAAGATCCAGCACATGAAGCGCTTAATCAAGACCACCAGGATTGCGACGATGCCGGCGCTCCAGGAACACGCACAGTCATGGTGCTTTCCTGGACCATCCGACGTATTCTCCACTGGGACAACGGTGAATGTCGCGAAACACTCCCCATCCAGGTCGAGATGAAAATCGTCGTCGTCACTGCCCACCGCTTCCAATAACTTTGCGCCTGAACCAGCCTCGCTTCCACCCGGTGTGGATGCACTGCATGCAAGCAAACAATTCAGAACGATAGCAGGTTATTTCCATCTTAGACTTTCACTTAAAACGCTGCTAATATTAATGATTGAACGTTTTTATATATGCAAAGCGTTCGTTTTGTGATAAACAGTGCGACACATGGTGCAATGTATGGCAAACGCTGGTGCAATGAATGGCAAACAATTAAACAAAATTACGGAAACCATGTTTTACGAGTATATGGATAATGAATGTACTGTATCCGCTCGCACATCTTGAACCACAGAGTTTGTGTACAGGAAAAACACGCATTCAATATACACACTCTAACCGGGCAAAATGCACGACTACGAAATATTGCTCATTTGGTTTCAAGATGAACAGTTCTTCTTGTGAATTTGTCCAATAAACCAAGAATTTTCATTTAAATGGCAGTTCACTCTGGAAAAAAGGTTCTGCAGCTGAAAGCTCGAATTGTTCTGTGGCTCATCGCCATCAAGAATGTTAACGCTGAACGTACCCATCCCCCCTCCAGGGGTACCCCAAAACCACAACAAATCAGTTTGTAACTCGTGCTTACGGCAAAGCTGTATGTTAATGGCTGCTATCGAGCATAAACAAGTTTAAAATTGTTAGAGCTCCAATTGTTTTTAATATTCAAGAAGTTCTCCAGACCAGATTTTGCAAAGACATCAGAAATTTATCAAATCGCGAATCGCGCGTTTGGCCCGGTTAGAGTGTGTATATTGAATGCGCGTTTTTCCCGTACACACACTCTGTGGTTCAAGATGTGCGAGCGGATACAGTATGTAGTCTATTGCAATTCTACATATAAAAGTATGTTTAGAAATCATGAAGTCGTTTAGCCGCCAGGCATTCTAGCAATTGAACGATCTGAAGGAAAGGCATGATTGCCCTTCATTTATTGTACTTCTAAAAAACTCAAGTGGAGTAAGAACAAGTAAAAACTCCAGTGGAGTGGAGTGTCAGTAACGGATGCTTTACTGTATCCGCTCGCACATCTTGAACCACAGAGTTTGTGTACAGGAAAAACACGCATTCAATATACACACTCTAACCGGGCAAAATGCACGACTACGAAATATTGCTCATTTGGTTTCAAGATGAACAGTTCTTCTTGTGAATTTGTCCAATAAACCAAGAATTTTCATTTAAATGGCAGTTCACTCTGGAAAAAAGGTTCTGCAGCTGAAAGCTCGAATTGTTCTGTGGCTCATCGCCATCAAGAATGTTAACGCTGAACGTACCCATCCCTCCAGGGGTACCCCAAAACCACAACAAATCAGTTTGTAACTCGTGCTTACGGCAAAGCTGTATGTTAATGGCTGCTATCGAGCATAAACAAGTTTAAAATTGTTAGAGCTCCAATTGTTTTTAATATTCAAGAAGTTCTCCAGACCAGATTTTGCAAAGACATCAGAAATTTATCAAATCGCGAATCGCGCGTTTGGCCCGGTTAGAGTGTGTATATTGAATGCGCGTTTTTCCCGTACACACACTCTGTGGTTCAAGATGTGCGAGCGGATACAGTACATACCTGCTGTGATCTTCTCCCGCATCACACCGCATGTAGGGCCATAACACAATCGACATAATGCTGAAAATGATTATCAATGGTATAGCATTCAGAAGAAACTGCGACCGGATCCACTCTCGAAGGAACCCGGATGACAGTGATGAATAATCGGTGGAGAACAGAGACAGCAGTGCTGGATGGCGGGTCCTCCACTGCGGATACCCCAAATCCATCCAGTGTGACAGGATTGCCTGGGGATATTCCATGCCCTGAAACCCATACGATACTAACATAAGTAACATTCATGTTACCTCCATCACTGTGATCGGGAAAGCCTGCAACTCGCTGTGTTTTTCCAAGCGGTACCCGTGATGGTATTTGCAGCACAATGCACAAAATGTGAAACCAAACCGTTTACTTTTCTGCATCGCTATTGTTTATGAACTTTCTGAAGGCAAATAGTTTGTATACATCGGTTTAAACACCGTCTGTTTGTGTGTGCAAGGTCGCTTTAGATTTTTTCGGTGAAATAAAATTCCGAATGTTTTAAACGCACAGAGGTGCGCTAGGAGCCTAGTTATGAATCGATCCTCTTCAAAATTTTCTGGAAAACGCACGTCAGCATGAAAAGTGTGTTGTAGCACCAAGCGAAAGCGAAAGCTTCCGTTGAGGTGCGCGAATTTATTACAATGTAACGGCACACTTTCCTTAAAGGAGATATGCCGGCGCGTGGCCCGACTGGATGATTTGATGATAAAACCGCCATGTATTGTACTCTGTATGTGCATGCAACATAAAAAAATAACTGCAAATTGTAAACAGTTCATCGATGGGAAGTTTTGCGCATTTCTTAAGCACTTTTCTCCATTGCTGTTTGGCACTCTGCCGCCAAATATTAGAACTGTTTTGGTTAACTTTAGAATTTTAGAAAAACGCCAGAATCTTGATTGCCTTTAAAAAAGATCTGCAGATTATGTTTGTTTATGTGCAAAATCCGACGACAGCCAGTCTGTAATAAGAACTTTACTACATCCTGTGTTTCAACCTTTTGAAATGCGGACTAATGAATGTGATCGTTTAAGAAAACTGACAAAATGAAGACTGAATTGGACGGGGCGGTCGAGTAAGCGTTATTACCGTTCTGTAATTAACACAGTACGTTCCACCGGCTCCGGTGCCGGCATAAGCTGAATAGTATCGTTTCCACGACTTCCATGCATGTCCGAGGCTATCAGCCGAAGGAAGGGCGAATTTCACTGGCACGGTATTAATCAAAACAGCAAATAACCATATTGATGAAGTTGCGAATTTAATTGGCAGTACGTAAAACCGAGAACATTCTGGGAATAGGGCTGTGTGCTTGGCTTTGTCACCGGAACTCTCTCGATCGCTAAAGCATCCACCACTACCGGCGTGCCACACATCCGCCTGTACACACAAAAAACCCGTATTATTTTTTTTCACTTTTAATAGGCAATAGCCGTCAAAGTAACAAGAAGTGCAAGCGCAGGCACACTACGTTACTGTTAAAATTTTAAACATTGAAAAAACAACCAAAATCTCTATCCACCCGTGGGTTAAATGGTAGCGTACTTAACACAGCCGTAGCGTTTCCCTTAATAACAGCCAAACTGAAACGTTGTTTAAGAAAAGCAGTAGTAGAACGCCCAGTCAGGTCACGAATTTTTCGGCCCATAAAGTGCAAAAATTCGCTTAAAGCTGGACCGAAAACGCCAAACGTTTCAACCACTAAAGGATACTATTAAATGAATAATATTATTATTATTACCCGTATTATTAAATGAATAATAAATGCGCTCAATACGATATATACCGTTTATCAGTGGCCTACGGTTATAATAAATAAATATCACGCCAGCAATGTTTATTTTATCCATTGTTTTGTACTGCATGTATATTAACATGTATATTAAATGTATATTACTGCATGTATATTATATGTATATTAACAAATATACCATTTTTCACTGTCTTCGTTAAGCATGGACGTTAAAATACCGCATTTAGGGAAATTTCAGGCTACTCACATAACCCAGTCTTGCCAGAAGGTTGTCCAGATCGGTCTGTACTTCGGGATCGACGCGCGTGTTCCGCCACTCAGGAAAGAAGCGTGTGCCAAACTTCAGGGTAATGTGCAACGAAAACCACATAACGATCAGGGCTTCCGCCATGATCTCCTGGTAAGCCCACACCCGATCGCGGTCGAGGATGGATCCAACGGTCTTCGGATATTTGCCCATTATTGTCACCGGCCGTCAACCAATTCTCTACAGCTTGAAAAGTCTCTGTGTGGTACTACTGTAGTAGGAAGGCGTTTATTTCGGCGTCCCAAAACGGGACAGGCTGATTTACAACGGTTCACGCAGAGAGGTTACTGGCACAGAAATTAGTGAGCATCATCGCAGAACCTTACTCACCGGTATTTCTACTGAATTATATTGCTGGCTGATTCTGATTTCCTTTACCCACGTCAGGTCCTTTCATTTGCTCGCAGCTCCCACACGTTGGCGTGACCTATACAGCTCCCGTTTTATCCTGGAAACTAATACGACGCTTCGTACATTGTGCCGGCAACAGCAAGCGCCGCGGGAAGCAGAACGTGGGCGCATTGCAGTAATTAATAGGCACCCGACGAGAGATTAACTATTAATCAAATTACCAACGAAAGTGGATCAAAGCTCTTAAAATCCTTACGCCGGATTAAGGTAGCTATTCTCCAGCGGCCCGTGGTGCACTGTTTAATGTCACGATATACATAGTAAGACATATTTGCCTGTTTTTGAGTTGTTGCGTAATACGAAACAATTTTTAGGGAGTAAAACAAGCGTTGCGTACAGTGATAATGTACTTGGTTTCCACCTTTCCATAACCACGTGTCCGTAATGCAACAGCTTTTCGTCCGTGATTAATTCGATATATTAGTTATACTGTGCATCGCACAAACACCTAGGCCTGTTTTTCAACGGTTTATTTCGTTCTTGACCAGTCGTCAACTTGATGACCATCCCAGTGTTGCGCAGTGTAAACTTTTTGAAACATCACGCTTAATTAAACGTGATGTTTCAAAAAGTTAATTGCGTGAAGCCCTTATAAGGGCTTCACGCTGTTAACATCACGCTATTTTCATATGACTTTGTACAAATTCTGGCGCGTTCCTCCCATTTCCTAATAAGCACGATGCATTTTGATATACTTTAACCCCACGTGACCTCGGTTCATGAAAATTTTCAAAATACATAAATTGTTTGCTTATTGTAAATTTAGGTTCGTGACCCATTAATGTTATGATCGAAATCGATCATAGGAATTTGAACCTTGATAAAAACGGTGATTAAACATCAGGTGCATGAAGTTACAGCAAAAACCACTCAACAGAAAGTAAATACATAGAAACACGATAGTCATCAGTTAAGCAATCAGTATTTTCTCAGAAATATTCAACATTCAGATAAAGATTTGCACTCCTTCCGATACCGGACTGTGATGAGTTTATGGTTTATTGAGTCACTTTACTCATTGATTTCCCGCGTCTTTGACGCACATGCTAACATTATCAGAGCACGAGCCCATTTTGTGCGATGCAGGGAACGTGATGCGTTAACGTGATATGCTTCTTCGAAACTGTATTCACAGTATCCCAGCGCAACCTCATAATATCATGTACGTGCAGATATTCTTTATGTCTTCTCACAGTTTCCCCACCCCCTCACTATTTTTCTGCCGTATCCCACCGCACCTCCATGTATTCTCAAACTTGTTCCACTAAGAAAGCCACTAAGAAAATTAACAAGTCATGGATGACGACAGATGCAATAGAAATAGGGTGGCATGCTAAGGTCACATATACATATACGTATACTCGTATATGGCCACCAGTGCTGAGTATAACAGGATATGTGCATTAAGCCGATGGAGAACACAAAAATAACACATTTGAGGATACGGTAGGGTACTGTGGTTTGGAAGGGAATATTAAAGTATGCCAACATCGCTTGATGTCATGAACATAAGCCGGAACTTAAATAAATTTGTTTTTCCGTTTATGTTACAGCAGCTTAAACTATTACATCTTGTATCCACCATGAATCTCTTACGGATATCTTGGGTTTCCTAGTATTTTTTTAATGTTTAAATTTTAACTTTCACGTAGTGTACCGGCGCTTGCGATCATTGTTATCTTGGCGGCTATTGCCCAATAAAACTATATTTTTTCTTATGTTTTCCTTTTTTCTTTTTTTTATTATTTAGGTTTCTTTACGGAACACATGGTGGGTACATAGAGGATGTTGCAGAGATGCGGCAATGATACAAAAGACACTGTATCATTAGTAAGACACCTGCACAACATACATACAAGAAACACTTCTATGCTTTTCTTTATTAGTCTGATTGTTTTATTGTATAAATGTATAATTATTCGTGCAATAATGTAATTGTGATTTTAAATCAATTAGGGAGATCCAATATTTTATGAAAGACTATAAACATTCCATCAGTGAAAAAAATCATCATAATGTTTAGATAAATACGAGAGGTTATTGATTGCTGTTACCTACAATCTATAGATTCTTTAAAATGGGAAACATCCTAACGAAAACGAACGCTGCGGCCGATTCACTGATATTAGCGCTCTCCAGTTATGCTGATACCGATATTTGGTGACCTTCGGTGGGCCGTTTCCGGCGGTTTGGTACCATGCATCCGGGTCGCTTCCCTTAAAACTCATACCAGGTAAAACTACGAAATCATACGACTGTGTTTATTATCGAAAGCCACTGAGGGATAACAAGCTAGGTAAATCCACGGTCAGCGAGTTGCCGCCGGGGTTTTATCAAGATTACGTTTCGATGTTCAATTACGTGTTGATCATCATTTCACGCTGATAACATGTCGGGAAAACTATTCTCCAGTCAAAATGATCAGAAAATATTGATCACGAAAATGTCGTTCAATGATCAACTTATCCGGTAAGCATTTTGTCGGTCAAAAAAGGTGAAACCGTTTCCGGTATTTTACACAAGATTTACATCAGCCCAGGGCCCGCGCAAACATCTGACAAGGACCCTTGTCAACTGCGCCTGGCGGTGGAATCAGCATCTGTTGTTCCTGGCGAATCTGGCGCACGTCAACAGCGAATTTCCAAATGATCCATGTTGAATAGATGGTCAGCAGCAGGAGCAGGGCCCACAGTTGTAGCGATTCCGGAACGAATAGTTGCACCAGCGGATATGGAAGATTGATCCAGCATAAACTTTGACGGGCCATAATCACCATTAACGCTACCACAAGGACCGATGGAGCGCAAAAGCAGCGAAGCTGGTGCGACGAGTCGTCCACAGTGTTGTCCATGGTGATAGCGGTGCTGTTGTCGCCCGCTTGAGAATCCCCATCGGCCGTAGCAATACAACCGTCTCCAGAGGTTTCGTCGGGTTGTTCGGCTTGATCGTCGGCCTCCGTTGGGACCGGAGTGCTGCATAAAAAAGATTAATCATTATTAATTAACAACTTGATTCCGCGAGCCGCGAAGTCATAACCCATTATATTTAGGTCCACAATTATTTCTTTCCGTCATATATTATGCTTAAGCCGCGCTAGTTGGTTATCCCGAAGAACCCTTCAGGGATAACCAGGTGCCGTACGGCAATCAAAAACCGCCGCGTATCTGCTGATCTTTAGATAGGGGCGCCTTGTGGCGAAGCTAAGTATTTTTAAAAGTGCCTAAAGTTACAAAATATGCGTATTTTAATATACCGGGTGGCTGAACAAAATGGCGGGCTCCGTTTTTTGTCGGTTTCTTGCAAACCGCATGCCCCCCCGTAAACAGCTTAGACTGGTTTGATAGACAATTTTATTGGTTACTAAACCCAATAAAACATTTTTCAAAAAATTTAGCGGTGCTCGTATTAGATGGCGCCAACCGAAGTCGGGTCGAAATATATTCTGGCCAGCTCGCAAAACTTAAAATCTCGTGGCGTTTTTTTCCTGCATGGACTTTTCGCACACTTTTAACTGTTTCGTTTAGAGAAACACATCTTTTTTCAATATTAAAAAAGTTTTAGATATGCTGCATGTGCTGGACGAGTTATACGCCAGCGTACTTTTTGATTTTCCCAAAAAATGTCAATTTTTCATTTTATTTTTATGGGTATATTTTGTTAAAATTTTTGGCTGCATGACAGGTTGTTGCAAAAAATGCCGGTTTAAATTTTATATGTGGCTAACACATTGCCCTTGCGGAAATCAGATTGAACCAGATGAGCTGTCAAAACACTGGACAGATATCTGCTTTCAAAAATCCTCCTTGTGGATTTCACGATAACTGCGGGTGCGGGTACTCGGTTATTCCTTGTATTGGCCAAACACGGTTGCCAGGATATTACAGTACCCTGCAGTAAAAAAACTAGAAACAACCCCTCTACCCAAAATAGTAACGCGAGCCACATTAATTTCCTTAACTGAACAGCAGCAATTTTTGTTTAGAAATGGGTAAATTCAGAATTTCGTTTCCTGGCCAACCGTCAATCCCACCCATCTTTAGAAAACAATTCATAAAAAATTCAAACCTGTTTACAATGTCGGTTTATTTTAATTGTTGCATGCAGTAAAGATTGCTCTTTCGAATGACACTAGAACGATGTCAGTCAAGCATCTGACAGACCAGCGGCACTCTGGTAAAGCAGACCGCCATTTTGTTCGGCCACCCGGTACTACACGGATGGTACACACCGGTCCCCAACCCGACCAGCACGCAAATAGCGCTTGTAAACCCAACGAATAACCCGGATAAGCAAGTATATCAACGGTGCCAACGCGATGTTTGACAGTAACTCAATCCAGCCTCGGAGGAACATATCCGTGTGAGGAGAAAAGGTGGACGCGAGCAGGGACAGCAAGGCCGGTTGGGTGGTATTCCAGCGCGTGTATCCCACATCCACCCAGTACGATAAAATAGCCTGGGAGTATTCTAGACCCTGTCGAGGAAGGCACGTAACAGTTTACGATGACACTGACCACTACTTTTGCACGCTCGATGGCCCAGAAAATGCTCTACTTGCAAAACTGGGCATGCATGATGTGATGTATGATGTACCATAAAAAAAGCGGTACGTACGTATAAACAAACGTTTAAACAAACGGATTCACTATTGTTCGAGCGTTTCTTACCGTTTCAATTTGATCGCAGGAACGGTTATAATTAAAATCATAGCGATCCCAAAATTCTGAGGTACGGGCGGTTAGGTTAGTCGACGGAATGTACTCTTGGATTGCGACGATATTACTATAAGTACATTCAAACACAACGCACCAAATGCACCAAATTTCAAGTTTAATGCGGGCTGACTAAGAAATTTCCGCTCTTCCATCTGTTCTTTTGGTGTTAATTTGCGGGATTTCCGAGGCTTGCCGCTGGAAGCGGAACGCTTTGAACCTCAGATAATTCCAGAACCAGTGCAGCACCACACATTCCCCTGTATACACGAACAGATTCAAACATCGACTAGGTGCGACGGCCGAGCAAAATTAATTCTTCACTGTTTACCCATTCCACATTAGCCATTCGGTACACATAATGCACTTCAAGCGAATGCCGAACGAAGCATCTTCAGCGAATTTACTGTACGGTACATTAATTGATTTATGCCAACCTGAATGTTTTGTTAATGCAGCTGAAGTAAGTCTCCTTCATCCACCAACCCCAAATGCGTCCGGTACAGTGAATACTCAGGATGTACACCCATAAAACACAACAAGGAAACACGGCCTCCTGTCCGACATTGTGAATGGTCAATACGGCAGCGGCGCCGCACAGAACTACAACAGGCAAGGCCCACAACGCCAACCAGACGAAAAAGCCGACAAACACGAGAACCGTTAAAACCGCCGTAAGCCCCGCGAACCCGATGGTCAGTAGAAACATTTTTATATTGGACTTCTCGGTCGGGTCTCTGCGCTGGTCACGGATAAAGAAGGCGCGAATGTGCTCACAGCAGTGTGTGTGCTGATTCCATACCGAATACTGCCAGCACCGGTTAACGAATAATGAGAAGCCTACGGAGATCGTCAGGACAGCCGTGGTACAGACGGTGGCAACAGCGCCGGCGTACCCCAAATGACTGCGTGTGTCGCTAACAGCGGCGACTTCCATAATATCGCTGTGATTACCGGTGTCGGTGATAGTCGTCGTCCATGCCGCCACAATATTGTCCCACACACATCCGTTAATGTTCTGTCCCAAGAAATGAAGCGGTTATTTGTTAACTGCGAAGATGATGGAGATCTCAAATTGGGAAGAAAATACTCGCATTAAACAACGTAATTTTTCTATTCGAACTTCTAAAAAAACATTTTATGATTTATGTTATCTGATCAATGTAGGTAAATACTGTATATGTGTAATGTCTACGGTCTAATACTTTATTAGAAGTACAAATTACCGTTTCGTAATAGTGCAAAGAGTCAACTGAATACACTAACGTAGTAACCGCGGCTTTACATATCCGGTTGCTACGTAGATAAGGTCACAACAATAACAGCAATAATCACGAGATATCCGTACGTACTTCCGGCCGTACGTCATACAGTACAATATGGAATATGGATTATATATATAATGGATATATAAATGCACACGGATATTCTTAAGCAATTTCTGAAAAATTCTGGAAAAAATGTGACGATTTCTGTTCTTAGCTGCGAAACGGGTAAGTATACGCGACCAAGCAAACGTTCCTTTTTTAAAATACGACTCATTAAAACCTTCTTTTTAATTCGTGAATTTAAACCTGTACAAGTATCTGAGCAATTTTGATTTCTTCGCTATTTTTGGAACAATAATAAAGACACAGGCTTTGACTCAAGACTCGCGTTATTGTACACAAGTACTCACATATCCCAGCCGTAGTCATAGGCGAATTTAACTCGCTTGGGCGGGAGGGGCACTGAGAACCCAAGAACCCCAAAGATAGCAAGATAACTCACTGCAAAACTTATAAAAAATTTTATATAAAGTACGAATCGAATCAAAATTGTTGGTACAGCAAGATGTCAAGTAAAAAATTACATGATAGCGGACATTTCCGCGCGGAGCGCGAAGCTGACGAACGTTTTCACTGCAGAAATTATTAGAAATTTTATAAAAAATAGCAGAATTAATCTGAATAATTTTCAGCGGAAGTCAAAAGGCAAAAGGCATTGCGATATTTTATGTACAGAGTTCAGAAAACCAGTGAATTTTCGCGCGAAGCCGGCGTACGATTTCATCGCAGAAACTGCTAGAAATTATATAAAAATTTGTAAAAATAAGTCAGTTACAGATACGTCATTGGAATTTTTCTGCAGCGGATGTTAAACGGAACAACAGCAATGCAATATGATTTACAAAGTTGAGAAAAACAGTAAATTTTCGCGCGGAGCGCGAAGCCGATGCACGCTTTTACACCTGAGAATGCAAGAAATTCGATAAAAAATAGTAAAATATTACGAGTTTCTAATAAAACTCCTTTAGAAACATGGTTTATTAATAAAAGAATAAGATGTATTCCCAGATAATGTGCGCTTCGTGGAAGACCGTGAACTGTACAACCAAATTTTGCGCAGTGATTGTGAGTTACATTCGGTAAAGTGCAAAACAGAGGCACTTTCGCGCGGAGCGCGAAGCTAACAAAAGGTTTGACTGAAAATTCGCTAGAAATTCAATAAAAAATAGCATTTTCTGCAGTTTTTCCCAAAGCCGGTAAATTTTTTCAAGCAATAGTCCCCCCTTTACTTTTTTGAAATACCCACTTTTCCGAAGATTTCGGAGGGGGCACGTGCCCCCGTGCCCCCTCCCAAGCCTGGCCGTAGTAGCAGAACTTCGAAACCGGTTCGTGAGTCGGGATCAACGCGACTGTTCTTCCAACTTGGGAAGAAACGTGTGCCGAACTTCAGCGCAATATGAAGGGCACACCAGAGTACAAAAAGAGCTTCCGCTATGATCTCCTGATAAGCCCGCACCCGATTGCGGTCGAGGAAATACCCAATGGTTTTTTTATACCTGGCCATTGCACAAAGCAAGCGAATAATGTAATAATGTAACCAGTAACAACCCTGGTAAACTGCGTTTAAGGACGAAGCAGCAATCAGAGCTCTGAAATTTATATACGAAAAAGATGGAGTAAAGGAACTGAACGAGCGATGAAGTGGTGTCTGCCGCAGTACAAAGAAATTCCATGCAGCATCTTGTGGATTACGTGGCGCTCTTATTTCGCCTCCGTTTCACGCACTCCACGCCACCATATGCTCACTGCGCCCACACGTGGATGAGATATCCCTCCAGGTTCCGTTCAATCAGCAGCCGTAAAAACAACCGCACCGAAGTTGTGTGTTCTCTCTTGCTATTGCACTGATAAAGGTCAGGATGGTAATAATTCAGATTGCTTGCATGTTGTTGTTTGAGGCCGCTGCGCAGATTTTAAGCTGTATTCGCGTTAAAAGTGTTAAGGCCCGAATCCGATTAACTTTGTTTTTTCTCTGCATAGGCAGTTTCGGCTCCAGGTAATGAAAAAAAAGTTCGATTTTATTTTGGCCAAATAGAATTATGAAGTTCAGAAAACTAAGTACCCATTTTAACTGTGCTTAGCAAGGACCACAAACAAATTCGCAAATATTAACGATCGACTAAAATAGATCTTACTATATTTAGTTAACTCTGGATACGATTATTTCAAAATTAAGGGCGACTGTGCCTTGAACTGCCTTCTGTACGCGCAAATGTTACCATTATTGGATAACTCAATTAATTGCATGACCGTTCTCATAATGGATGGTACTGGTGTCTTGGATATCAAAGCTGCACATCTTGCAAAACATGAGCAATCAGAGAAAGTGATCCCACAGTCACACATACGAAAATACATGTAATCCGCCCGAGCGATTTGATGGCTCGATCTCCCTACATACTCACATTAGATTTAATTTTTCGGGATGAAGCACAGCCGCTTCTTTATTCACATGTGCGTTGCACGTCTCACCGACCACTTACTTACACTTGACAACACCTTGTTTCGTCGTTTCGTTGTCTTGAAAATTCATCACGAAATAAATGTACAGAAATTACGAACATCGCTGACATCGAAATAGTGACTGAGCTTGTGATCACTGATCAGTACAAAAGAAGCGTTTTGCATTTCGAATATAAACAGACTGACAGCAATAAAGAACTCCAGACTATTTTGAATTACCGTAAAAATCTATTTATAAGCCCTGGGCTTCAAAAGTTGGAACGCCCTGCGGAGGGGCTTTAATTACGGGCATGGGCTTGTATTTTGGGGGCTATTATATTTCAAATGTGTTTTATTGGAAGCATTTGTGTGCATTTTATATAGCCCATGGGCATCTATTTCGGGGGAGCTTATAAATTTCGAACCACCATAAGGGGGGGGGCTCCAATTACGGGGAGGGCTTCTATTGTGGGGGGCCTATAATTCGATTTTTACGGTACTTGTGCCGGTATTTTTGTATGACTCGTAACTGGGGCACATTCAAACACTAGAAATGAAAAGCGTCGGTTCAATATTATCCTTTGAACAAGGAATTGCCGAGCGCGGATGGACAGGCTATCGTGTTTCATACCAAATATTTAATACATAACAGTAAATTTCTGACCGTGTTTGTAAAACTGCAATCAAAAATATATTTTTCTGTCATGCCTTAAAAGTATCGCTTCCTTGACGAATTTTCCTATTTCCATTCTGAATGGACACTACTGACAATGCACTGCAAGAGATATATTGCGCATATCAACAATATTTGGGTACTGTGCGACAGAATTCACCAATCTCCAAGAAGATTAATCTTCATCAGTTTAAATGATTTCGTTGCGATTTTGAGCCACTCGCAGCTGATTAATCTTTCTACTTTCTTTCTTAAATAGACTACAATGCTTTGCCGCCTACGTTGTAATCACGGTGTAATCGGAAATGTTATTAATTTTGTACATGTCCGTCCGCAGCATTAAATTCAGCATCATTGCTGTATACATGTCAGCAAAACTGCTCCTAGACTTGTAGATATATTTCCAATTCCACTACTAATTACTAAATACTCTGTAGTGCAGTAGCGCGAACTATGAAACTAGTTATGCATTTTTGAATTTATTGTGCAACACTGTTTTATACGCTAGTCAGAAGCAGACTTCCAAATGATCCATATTCCATAGGTGGTCATCATGAGGACCCATGCCCACAGTTGCAGGTGCTCCGGAACGAATTACTGCACCAGGGGACAAAGAAGATGATTCCAGACAAGATATCGACGATTGAGAATCGCCACGAGAGCGACGGTACCGACACACGATGCCCATATCCACAACGAGCAATGTTCATAATTACATAAAGCACATGATTTTATGACAATTCCTCAGAGGCCAGAAGGATAATCGCGTCCGGCTTGCTCTCATTGCGCTCACTGCGTACTGGACTACAGCCGAAACAGTCTACCGGGTTTTGTCTTCCCACCGACTATAGCCGCCACCATCAGTATCAGAGGGGACGTCCGCTGCACTGTTTCATGGCGGGGCGCCGGGGGGTATAGCTTTCGATAATTTTTTAACTGTTTACGACACTTTCGAGTTTTTTGCTTTGTTTATCATTTTTATTTGTTTGTACCTGAAATGCAGGGTTAAAGGTGATTTGCAGGAAAGGCCGAAAACGGTTAGAAAGCACACATTTAAATGGCACACACATTAAAATAACTTCTAAATTATTTTTTTTAAAAACTTCTAAATTATTTTTTTTAAAAACTTCCGCAAGCAGCGGAAGAAATGAGATCAACCACTGTGTAACTTGTTTTGGTCCACGCCGCTGAAAGTACTCGTACAAAAATTTTCGAAGCTCGAAGCCCAAACAAAAATGACTTAACGGAGCTGAAAATGCCGGTAGCAAAAATTCGGGCGCAACACAGTGGTGGCAGACTGGCAGTGTGACAAAAGGTAGTTAACTCCTTATATCATGAATTATCCCCGTAAATTAGTAAATTATTATTGTATACCATTTATCAGGAAGCCAAGAACAGGTAATTTGTCTGGAACCGACACTCGGTTTGTCGAGAGGAAGCAGGGTAATATGCTTAAAGAAACATCTATGTAGACTGATAAACGGCTTGTCAACAGGGCGTTGGGATATGTGCGAGATAAAGTATACGAACCTGGAACACCCCGTCAGACTCGATGATACAAGTGATAATAGCGGAATTTGATAAGTGCACAGGTACTACTTTTGCAAATAACTGTGTTCCGATTTTTCCAGTCACAAAACAATGGTTGGACAAGTCCGAAAATTGCTCCAGAACACAGTTACAGCTCACACTAGCTTGGGCAGTAACCGTACACAAAGGTCAAGGCATTACGTGTGAGAAAGCGGCAGTCCACACTGACAAGCGGGAATTTGCGTCCGGTTTCAATTATGTTGGCTTTTCATGCATGAAAACATAGAGCGGATCGGCAGTGAGCAGAACCAGTTTTTCCATTACATATGCTACAGTCGATAAAAAAGCCACCAATCAAAAGAAAAGGGAAATTCAACGCTTGACTCAACTGATTTAATTCTGGCGGGTCGAAATATTGCTTAAATACTCGTACAAATAATAAATGTAAGCAAAATACTCGATCTTAACTTTTGATGCGAAATTAATAATCAACATAACAATAACCTATGTAGGTATTCTTGTACTTGTATAAAAAACTCGGTTTCCGGCTTCGCTTCGGTCTATTAGTGCTAGCCCAAAGCGGTGCACTTCCCTAGTTTATCCTGTTTTATGACATTCTGTAGCCAAATGATTTGTATACACTGACGTGAAAACCGTTTGCTCTATGGCTCTAAGAAAATTCCAAAAAGTTTAAATGCATTCAGGAATCAGGTGTACCAAAAGTCTTATTATGGACCGATCTCTATCAAATTTTGCACGTAAACACAAACCTAAGAAATGCACATAAACACAAAGAACGTTTTTACACCGATCCACTGTTTTAACATGTTTTTCAAATTTTAAAAAGAATTTCAAAAATTGTAAAATTCATTTTAAAATTTAAAAGAAATCATGGAAGTCTGGATCGGTGCAAAAACGATCTTCGTGGCCATGTGCATTTACCTGCCAAATTTGAAAGAGATCGATCTATAATGAGACTTTTGGTTCATCTGAATGCATTTAAACTTTTTGGAATTTTCTTACAGACATAACTCCCGAACCGGATGTTGCGCGCACAAACGGTTTTCAGGCCAGTTTATACAAATCATCTGGCTACAGAATGTCATAAACCGAAACAAAAAAGTGTTTTGGATTGCGCGAAAGTGAATGTTTCCTTGTATGTACACGAATTGGTACCATGTACCGGGCCACTTCCCTTAAATCTATCCAACGGGATTATTATTGCATCGCGAGCAGCCGATGCTGATCGCGAGCAGCCGATGCTGTATTCTTTGCTGGTATACGTCTAAAAGTCACGGTGACATTGAGTTAAATTACAGTGCCAATTTTGGAAAATAAAAGTAATAATTCAACTTAAGAACAGACCTAAGAAAAAAACCTAAAAATATCACCTACGAATAGAAATAATAACTAAATTTATTTCGCTAGAGGATCTTAAATTTAATTAAATAACATCAGGCACGCCGAACGAGTTCTGAATTAATAAAATATTGGTTAAAACATTATGTATCGGTACTGCGCACATTTTTACAATGAAAACCTTGTTCATATTATTGATCTTTTTGACGCAGACACACTGCCATTATCGCATTACCCTGCCCACTGGCAAAATGAATCATTGCATGTTTTCAGTAACCGATGGCACCGGATGCTGCTAACGCTATTTTTTAAAGCACGCACACTCCTGGGAATGGGATTTGCTAACGTCAACTTTCAAAGATGGATACAATCGGACTAAAAGATTTGGTGACTTCAAGTATTCAATAATCCTTCATATTTGAATGCAAATATAAACGCAAGCAAATACTCTGTGCATAAGCCCATAACTACAGTACGACAATAAAATCTTTGCATTTTTAACGTGTATACTCAAATGAGAATCAAGCGAGACCTCTAATGTTGCTTTGTGTCGCTTTGATGGCTATCGCCGAATAAAAAATATTCTATCTGACTACTCTAGCATTTCTGTCGGCAGTTTCCGTTTCACTGGTGTACGTTATTAGGATTAGTTTATTCGATATATTTGTACAATACAAGCACATGATGGGTAAACCTGCGTCTTCGTTTACAGAGAGCAATGCGTTGCCATGCAATATTCTGGCATAAAACTGTGGGGCACGAATGTAATTTTTTATTTATAGTTTATTTTTAATTTTTTTTAAATTACTGGCATAACCCTGCACCCTTTTCATCCGCACTGTACTAGCGACCGAAGAGGTCTACCAAGCGAACAACTCCAGAAAAACCTTGCAGATGTTTGTATATAAAATATCGGCAGTCTCAGGACAGTGAGGACACTACTTTATTTTACACTTAGTTTGGGAAGACGTGAAGTGGGCGGTTGTATATACGCCTAATATGAGCTATGTTAGTAACTAGTACGTACTTTTTATGCCTGCAAAACGCAGCACTTTACTTATCGTTAAATTACGTTGTGTCTTCGTTTACAATGTTTTGGTTCTTTTACACTTAGTCTGCCTTAAGTTTTAAAAAAGTCTTGCGATGGATGTGACTTGAAATTGCTGCGTGGACGGGACCGGTGCGGGAGGATTGTGTTGCACAATCAAACTATTGGCTTTCTGATCGGAGACGAAGGCGCTGTCGTGTAACAGCTGTTTATTTGTCCATCGTCCAACGTTATTCTCATACGAGAACACGTCTCCCGGTTGCTTATTCATAGTCAGCAGTGGGTTCTGCTCCAGAAACGTGCGAAGCCAGGCATAATCTGCCGATTGATGGAGCATTTCGATGTGGGCCAGCTGATCCTCTGTCATCGGCGTCTCAATGCCGATGTCTAGTCCAATAAATTTCAGCTCGGTGAGATGTTCAAACACGTTTCGCTCGATGAAGATAACGGAGGATTGTGTCATGACGAAGCCGCGCAGTCTGGGAAATCCAGAAAGGGAAGCAATGGAGAGAATGACGCCGGAACACTCCAGTAATTCCAGCCAGCACAGATTCGGTAATCGCCAGTTCTGCAGGTGACTGGTCACTTCCGGTAGCGCGGTTTTTAGCGTAACTGCCACCACCAATGCTGACATGGCGGACATCACGACTTCCATTACATTGAAGCATGGCTGGATGAATGTTATTTGCACAGGCTTACCACGAGCAATATTGGTTAATTGGTTGGCGAACTGCTCAGCGTTTTCGGCAGAGACTGTGCTGGCAAAGGTTACACGATATACTGGCCCAAACCATCCGTATTTGTGACTGTCTTCAAGTATACAACCAGCGTATTTCCCTGAATGAAACAAGCCAAGGTTGGTTTACCGGCAACACGGAGAAAAAGCGTATTCACAAAAAAAACTGTTTTAGTAATAATTGTATCATATTAACAGTTTTATTATGATACAGCTTCACAAACGTAGCGAACTGCCTAAAGAAACATTTGAGTGCAAACTGCGTAGGGAAAGAACTGATCAAATTGTCAGGTCTAGGAATAAACCGACAAAACACTTTATAAATGCGATGGGAATTAAAGTAGTTTGTGAAAGAGAAACGAAATTTTGCCAATAACTTGTTAGCTAGGAAAATGCACCGAACGCAGACCGGAGCCAGGGTATAAAAAGGTGCCAGTAACACCTGCCACAGTGCCACTGACAATTGCCACTGGCTCACTTATTAACGCAACCAGTGCAATTGCGCGTGAGGCTTAGCACTTGCGATAACTGGCATGACCTTGTGCAGCAAAGCAGTCATACAGCTTTACTACTTTATACCTGTTCGAAATTGTTTTCAACTTTTCAAAAGAAAATGATTTAGTTGATACCACGTGAGTATTTGGATCAATTTGTGTCAGAATAACTTCCGGATTTCTGGCGGTTGCCACCTTTCATACCCTGCCGACCGGGGCCGCCGGAGCCATGCTTAGACAGCTGCTACAAAACATGGCTGCTTTTGTTAGTAACTTGGCTAATCACATTTTGCGAATAAATTTTTATTTACACCTAATTAATTAATCTTTTTACGCTGAGAATCACTGAGCTTCGTGCATCCACAGTGTGCTTATAGTTGTGTGATAATGCATACAGTACAAGCGCAATTGTGCATGCCAGCTTTGACGTTGAGCACAGAACCGGTTGTTCGCGTTTGCGCGAAACTGGGTATGTAACACTGTCTACAACTGTATGTGACAGTACCACTAAGCACGTTTAATTAATTTATGTTATACAGTTATTACCTTGCAACCAGTCAGCTGTATAAATCGTTGTTAGCCGCATATTACTGTCGCAGGAATGCGTTCGACTTTTCGCCATTTCATCATCACTATCACTGGAATTAAAACTGAACAAATCGGGACTGACTTCCGGTGAAAATATGTCAGCAATCGTCAGCGCATCGCTCTCGGTGTTGCCAATCCGCCACACTTCTCCGCGACTTTTGCCGGTGACCAACCATGGTTTTTTCTTAAAACATTCTCGTAACCACCTATATTCCTCGCTGTTATGCAGCAGCCGATAATGACCCTTTTCTTCTTCGGTGTAAGGCACGCGCAGTCCGCAATCCAGCGCCACCAAATCCAGTGCAAACAGGCTACGAAACACTAATCGGTGGATGCTTTTTACTGGGCTTTTCTTGGCAATTAGGGATCGCATTTTGGTAAACCCAGAAAGATCATTTTCGCAGATGACCAGGTGTTCACAGTAGGAAAACTGCAGCTCCAGCAAATTAGGCATTTCCAGGTGACCAACATGGAGGGTGTCTGTGCGGTGGTAACGACGTATTTCGCATCCGACTATCAAGTCGGCAACAGACGTTATGGAGTCAGGGCTGAACGTGCTGTGCCACGGCAGGGAGAGCTGTAGAAAGTGTTTTCATATAATATTTTGAGGTCTGAATTTCTTTGCCACTGCTTACGTGTATTGCTTGAAATTAATTTTCGTTTTTATTCCATATAAACTCTTTGGTGCCGGACTTAAAAACGCAGGTTAATAAACAACTTTATTACTCGTAGTTTCGCAACAAATTTCAGAAAGGTATTTAACAATGAGTTTTTGGAGTGCAAAAGGGAAGAAAGTCAGCCTGATGTATTACCTGAACTGGTCTGTCCTTCCCCATGGCTCTTAATGATTCACAGGTGAACCGTATCTGATCGCTGTCCGCTTTGTCCGCAAAATTCAGCTTTATAACGGAACGCCGACCGTAATTGCTTTCGGCTGCGCTCAGACAAACTGCGGTGTCGAATATGGCAATTTCCGCCTCGGATACGATATCCAACCGATAAACAGGTATCGAACAAAAAGGGAACCGCTCTAACACCTTCCGCAGTTCAAAAACGTTGCCACCAGGGTTCAAGCAATCTCTGACCTGGAGGTTCGGAGTTTCGTAACACAAGGGCAGATTGCGTTTCCCAAGATTCCACACCGGCGGTCGCTCCAGAACCGGAAGGTTGTTACTGCAGTAAGAATATAACCACTGGTAGGCTGCACCGGTAAATTTGCGCATGTATTCTGTGGATGCGGAGGTCATTCCGTCTTTCCAGCCACCAAACAGCGTTACATATTCCAGCGACGGCGACAAAATGAAGAAAGCATCCGTTTCAATTTCTGATGCAGTAGAATGATACACATCCAAGTAGCGAAGATGGGGAAAGAAACAAGTGCCGGAAGCAGTCTTTCCGATGTACAGACCAGTGCAGTCTTCCAGAGTTAAAAAAACTAGATTAGGCAAATCGAGCGCCACAAGGTCTTCCATGCACCATTCGTAGCGGTTGGCTATGGTTAACTTGACCACTAGATGTCGTATGTAGTCGAATAGCCGCCCGTGCAGAGGACGATTTCCTTCCAGCACTACTTCTACCCAACCGCGAGCCCCGTCCTGAAGAATTTTGCTGCAGCCAAACGCTATTTCTGCGTCCGACGCAACTGATTGACAGTGTAGAACAAAAAGGCATGCGTCTCCGCAGTTCTTACGCTTCAGATGACATCCCGGTAATTCCGTTGTGTGGTTGGTTAGCTCGTCCGGGATAGCGTTGAAAACTGGGTTAATAACACGGAACCGATGTTTAACTCGCTCCACGACAAGACGCTGATTTAATTGGTCGACTGAATGGCCATCATCGACACTACTCGCGATCAGTGGATGTTGCAGAAGCTCAGAAGCTGTTGGTCTATCCTGCGCGTCCACGCGGAAACAATGCTGCAGAAAGTCTTTCAGAAGCTCATCACAATGCTGTGCAGGTAAGAGCGGCTGTCCACCGTTAGCCAGATGTGACAGCACCAGCATCCTGATATCCACCTGGAAAGTTTTTCCAAAACTGTCCGTTCCCCGGCTGTCAAAAGGGAAATGATTACCTCTCTCCAACATGTCCAAAACGACACATCCCAAGCTCCAGATGTCGGTTTTTTGCCCGATCGGACGGCTGTTAGCAGCGGTTATTTCGATCAGCAACCGCGCCAGTTCAGGGGAAGCGTAGGTGTAAGTGCCACATCCTTTAACAATATCTCTAGCGCTTGTCACCGTTTTCTCTTTCAGTACCGGATTGTCGAGATCACCAATCTTGACACTCGCGAAACCGCACTGAGGATTGTAGCTTCTTAAAAATATGTTGAGACTTTTTATATCCGTGTGGACAATCTTGTTACTATGTAGAAAACGGAGCCCTTGCAAGAGTTGGTGGAGATATCGTCGCACTGTGGCTATGTTTAATGGCAAAGCCTCATGATTTAGATAGTCTTGTAAATTTCCGCCTGTATAAGCAGAAAGATTTATTGAAAATTACATATGTTACAATACTATAATGATAACTACAGTTTTACAATTACTGATGTACAGTAGATCAGTTGCTCAAATATGCTTTGTGTAATCATTGCGCGATGAGTAAAGTGACAAACGTGTAACCTCTCGCTTAATCACGAATTATCAACAAATCCTGAGACGAATACGCAGTTTGCCTGTCAGGAAAGAAAATGCACGTAGAAGTGGAATACTGACAAACTGGCTGAAAATCTTGATTAATGCATGCACGAGGTCATCAAGTAACCTAGCGTCAAAAAATCAATTTTTAATTTGAATTTGAGTTGTCGTTCCCGAGAACAAAAATTTTTGTTGATCTGTGCAGTTTACGATTGGGGACTGGTTGTGATCCCATGTAGCAGCGCAACGGCCACACGAACAGGTAAGAATGATAAGAGGATAAGCCATCCCAAAATTGTGGTTGAACAATCAAACCGTATGACTGCTTATGCATCGTAATGATACGATCTTTACGGGACTGCCGCTTGGGCATCGTGTAAGGCTTGCACAAACCAACTAAACAAACAAAAATAAACTAAGCTGAATTAACTAAGCTTATACAACTGACTGACTTTGACATTGTAACTGAATAAACATTTTTTGCAGGTTAAAGCACTAAAAGTTGGCGTGTACCCAGAACGATACGAGTAATACAGGAAACTGTACGTAAACTGCAGTTAATGCAAACGCCATCCCGCAAACGCCATCATGGCCTCCAGCACGCTAAGGTTTTTTATTTAAAAACAAAATGAAACGAAACGCCTAATAACTTATAATAATGATGGCTGTTAATCGCTAATCATAATTATTAATGACCGCTTGCTAATGGCGACTAATACTCTGTGGTACGTAATGTTAAAAATTGGCACACCGACATATGTCGACAAACACATCGTCGACCATCAAAAAGTCGATTGTCACGACACTCACGATGACCACGAAACATCAGAAATAAGAAATTTAAATATCTAAAAAATCCAAAAGACATAAGAAGAATAAAAAAGCTTAGCAATCTTAAAAAACTACAACGGACAAGCAAAACGCTAGCTCGACTTCGTGACAGGTCAACATCGTGCCAGTTCGACGTTGTGTCGGTCGACGAATTTCCGTCGACGAAATGATAGGCCACCGTTAAAAAAGGTTAATAACTTATACCTTAACCACCGGGCTTTACGACAAAATGCTCGTCGATGTAGATTGTAGGATTTTCAGCAAAAATAATCGACCTGTATTTCCAAGTCAGAAATCGTTTGTGTGGCCTTAAATTAGTATTAGTACAACGCTTGCAATTTGGATTGTTTATTTTAATGAAATGGATATGGCTCACAGCTTCTGTTATCAGAAACATATCGTAATCCAGTATCACTCTGAACAAACAGCATATAGCTTAATCAGTAAAATCTAAATACATTGCTCTTAAAGTATGACCGGAAGTCCAGAACTCGACAACTTTGTACTGTACTTTTCCAAAGTTACCTTCGCAGAATTCCATTGCAAAGGCAATCCGATTGGATCCCGTGGTTGGTAGGAGACACTGTACATATCTTACAATATAGCAGTTTTCCAAGGCCACCAAACTTTCCCACTTCGTTTTGCTGTCGTTTACCACTACTTTCCATTCTTCTGCCGTCTCGGCGTCCGGCTTGATGACTTTCACTGCAAACAGGCCGCTTTTGCTGTTTAAGTCTTCAGCAGCAGAAACCGTCCCAAATGCACCTTGTCCTATTTCAGCGATTATTTTCAGCGAAAGGCTGGTGCCTTCCATTTGGTTGTAGCTATTAGCGTAGATATGGTATGATGATTACATTCAAAAAGACCGCTTTTCCGGAAATGATGGAGCACATTAACAGGCGAAGTTCCAGCGAAACCAATAATATGATTTTTTAAAACGAGTGACCATCTGTTTGTGCGCCCTCCTGTTGCTGTTATCGGTCTAGGAAGTGAACAACATTATATGTAAACATGCAAATTAAACAAAGGAAGCTCGATATCGCATTATCAGTAATTTCACATAATACTGCAAATAAAGTATGCTGCATTGGCATTCTCGTCTTTACTCATACAGCATATCGTTGCGGAAGTAAACAAGTGGAAAATGTGGCATATATTATTGTGACGCCCTCACATATTGTCGCAAGAAGCCCAAGAGAGAGCAATTTGGTACTGATTTCGAAAGCGATGTGCACACATGTAGCAGAAAACACTTGGCTTCATGTGTGCAAAAATGGTCGGTATTACCTTTATCATGAAATTTTTTGTCAGCTGGTTTCCAGTCGCGTGTTACAATTCTAAAAACGGATTGATTCCTGGGAATTAAAACCAGGCTTTAGCCTTTGTCAATCAAGTCGGTTAACCGGAACCCACATGGAAAACTATGCGGGGAAAGGATTATTTTTGATGATGTATTGTACATACTACGTACATCTATGTTCGTAAAACTGATGCCATGCACCAGATACTGCGCAGTCTGCGCTTACCTATATCTACATACTATGCAGTATGCAGTGTGCATGAAAATGTACTAGTGCAAGCTGTGCAGCCGATGATACGTGCGACCGGCGCTTAAAATGAAGGCTTATCGTTTGGTTAAAATCTTGATATGTGTAATAAAAATTGAGGGCAACTATTACTTAACGAATTTCCCACACCAAAAGCGTGTAAGTGCATGAACGGTATGTAGATGCAGACAAAGCATTCTATAATTTCGTGTATTGTCTGATTTTCACGGCAAAAACCATAATGGTAAAAAAACAAATTTCAGGTTTATCTCCGAGAAACGTTCGTTAATGTTATACAGCAGTGTCTGTACAAGCTATGGTACTGTAATTTGGAGTTACGACACAAGAAGTGCGTAAAAATGCAGCGTCCCATATTCAAGGAGAAAATCAAAACTACATGTATGTGATTGTAAGTTACAAATTCAATACACAGACGTTTATCGACCTCATGTAAACGACGTTTTATCGACGTTTCGACGACGACGTTTCGTTTTATCGACGTTTTATCGTTTTATCGACGTTTTATCGACCTCATGTAAACTAATGCTGCTTAACGTAAAGGTAAAGGGGAAGTGGAAAAAGAAAGCGATGATAACTGCGCAGTGAATACGTTTACTATCTGCATCGATGGTACTCAAAAAGAAATGACCTGGCGCAGGTTGATGAAACCTGGCACAAAACGGCACAAAACGAGCGCGTGATAACAGAAAATGGAGTAACGCCTATAGGTTGTTGACTTTGTTATGCGCAGCAATGCCGAACTGAAGGGATGAAAATTACATAATAGTACCGTCTTCCCCTTTCTTAACACCTATAGCCGTGTCACACTGAACGGTGAAAGCCTGCTGCTTTAGCCTCGTGGGTGTCCAGTTTCTTTCCACAGCAGCAACACTCTGCCTTTTCCTGCTTAGTCCAAGCGCGCTCTCCGCGGTACAAGGCCACTACAACGCGCAGAAACTCCCGGTACATCCACAACATCGACAACAGCAGCTGGATACCCGGCAGTTGCAGCCGTTCCGGTAGGAAGAAACCCACGCCCCCTCGGCGGGAGGCGTCATTTTCAAACGGGTTATGGGGGTGGGGGGGGTAGGCTTATTATAGGGAAGTGCAAATTCGATGATTACGGTACGTATTTTGCTTTGCATATTTTATTTTTTTGCAGATGTATACTTTTTATCTCATATGTTTTTATTTTTTTTCACCAATATTAAAAATACAGCGATGCGCCACAGAGATCGGTCACTTTCAGTACGAGTATACAGCTTCAAACACTAATAACTCAGACACTGAAATTTCTTGACAGTACAAAAGTTTTAAAATGAGTGGGTTTTCATAATGAGCTTAGTTTTTGTGAGTCCGCCACACGGTTATGGCAATCGTAGGAACGATTCTCTCATAGAAACAAAGTTTGTGAATCAAAACGCTTAACCAGGGCCCTTGACCGATGTTTTGAACCGTACACGTGAAGTGACAGGTAAGTACTGTATATAAATATCATTGAACCAATCACACAGAAAACAACGGAAAACAAAGAAACATCATTCCGCAACAGAGTACAGAGTACATCGAACTTATCGAAGTACGGTTAATTTGAATTTTTATTATGGAGAATGGTACTCGTAATTACGATCGTATCTCTAGAGTCGTCAGAAAATAAATTGCAGCGACTTTACTACCCACGTTTGCGTTCTCCGGAATATATTGTACTCTTTGTTTGCAGGGTTTGAGTCAAAGCGGGGCCATGCTGTCGTACTGGACAGATTTGGCATACGACCAGCTGCATGCTAATTCTAGTAACGCCGCGCTGTTGGCGGGATTCGCTCCGTCCCTCTCGCCCGCCGTGGGCTGGGTGTTTATGGCATGAACCGGAGTGCTGTCAATTTTTGGCACTTTACCGTTGACGCTGATCCAGATCTTTGACATCGTAGGGTTCTCTGGGCTAGCGTTGTTTTCTATCGTTTATCTTTGCTACAAATGTTGCCTCGCCTCACGACACTCACGTGGTATAACCGAGATACGGCACACATCAACCAGCCGGTGCTGCATCTATCGTTTAAGAAATCATTAGCGCATCAAAATAAAGAAAATAATAAACACAAAACCTTAACTCCGCAACAGACGGAAAAGTGGCAAACGTTTTGCCTGCATTAAAGATGTTTTCTTTCGTAGCGCTGCTCAACCGCACTTCGACGGATCCCGGGTGAACAATGATGAGGAAGCCAACAAACGCAAGGAACCGCCGGCAACGGAACCATCGCCCCAGCATTCCACGTCCAAAAAGCCATTCTAAGTCTGATTCATGTGGGCCAGTTTCCAGTGCGGCAGCTTGATCATGCTACTGCGTCTTTTTGGCTGGACGAAGCTCCCGTTTCCGGTGGTTGCTCTGGAATGAACTTCCTCAAGAGCTGTAGTAATGCAGAGAAATGACAAAAATGGATTCACCAAATAATTGTGTTCGTATTTATGTAAATACGAAAACGACTATTGGATGGATCCAATTTTGCGAGGCCCTACATTGTAAGCTGCCAAAACATCTGATTTAAAAAAAACAGAAGTATCAAAGAACGGTCAACATCAGTTTCACATTCTTATATAAAATATTTTGCGCAAATTCGCAATAACCTTGCAATTTTTATTTTTTTTCTAATCATAATTATAAGATCGCAGCTGGCAAGACAGTTACTTACGCATCCGAATTTCCCCATAAGCCAATCTAGACCGCTTTTTTGTGTCCGGGTCGACACGGCTGTTGCCTAATTCGGGGAACAGCCGACTGCCAAATTTCACAGAGACCTGACAGGCAATAAACAGCACAACCAGGGATTCTGCCAAGATCTCCTGGTGAGCCCAGTATCGATTCTGGAGACGGTGGCGCAACGTTTTCGGAAACTTTTTTTCATCATGGTCGTGTTCAAATTCGATTACATGGCGAACTAGAATTCTGCCCGTAAGGAAACCCCGCGTCAGAAAGGAATCATTGGGATCTAATCGAGGTTGCTAACACAATCGCTTAATGCCTCAATCGCTTAATGCACCACATCCAACGCTAGCGGTGCAGCGTGTGACTCCGATCGCTCCATATGCACTGGATCACATTCCCGGTTGTTATTTTAATTCATTCTTAACAGTCGCTTGTGGCACCTCCATATCGATACGGTCGACACTCGACAGGTAAAAAACACATGTGAGACGAGGGCTCACTAGCGTTCACGCCTGTGGCGCTAGGCGCTACGCCGATGGATTACGGTCTGTGTTGTGTCTCGCTCTGATTGGCTTGTGTTTTGTTAGTGGGCGCGGCTTAGCACGTGCTGCACAGTGTTACACACTGTTGAATTGGCTCTACGATTTGCGATCGAGCTGTGCCGTATGGCGGTCCGTTTGGGTCAGCAGCCGTTTTTTACGTTTTCGAGTTTTCTCGTTTGCCAGTTTGTCGGTTTGCACACTTTCACGTTTCGCACGTGTGCACGATTTCATGTTTTGACGTTTGCACATGTGCGCAATTCTTGATTTTCATATTTTCAGTTTTTAAGATTTTTAGTTTTATTGTTTTCAGGTTTTCGTTTATTCAGTTTTTTAATTCTCGATTAATGACTTATTTTTTCTTTAATTTGATTTTAATATTTTTGATTTTTTTTATTCAGATCCATTACATTACACCAGGAAATTCAGTCCGGCCACCGTGGCTTGATCCGAGAATTCCCAGTTGGTATTTCGACTTCTGAGGAGTTTATTCTGGAATTCCTGGTTGGCATTCCAAAAACTTTTTCCTGATTCCTTCGCCGCTGATCTGTTCAAAACGGTGGTTGAATTTGCTGGACGCCCGGTAAGATGACCTCTTATGTGCATAACATTAGATGGAGGTTCAAGCCCGTTTTTGTTCATACGCAGCCAGTGACGAAGTTCAACCCCGTTGCCTGCAAGATCGGCATGCGTTTATTATCCAACGCTGTGCATATGCTCCTGGATTGTCTGTGTGCTATGCCAGTACATGGCCACCGTGGAGCAGAAACAGTTGCCAGCGGACCATGATATTCTCCTGGAAGTGAAGCGCATTGTAGAGATGCTACAGAGCCTTGATTCAGAACAGCAGCAGGAAAAGGACAATGTGGTAAGTCGTCGGTATATCCTTTATCGCAGCAAAAAATCACGTAAAGGAAGCCGTGGCGTTGTACTCTTCTGGAAGACCAGTAAGAAGAGCCTGCGTCCAATGGTTTGGAGGCAGCGTAAAATGAGAACCCTGCCAAAAAAAACCCCGCTATTAAATGGAAACAATCTTGTTTTTCCTGCATTTTTTTAAGTAGTGTTGGAAATATGTTATCTTTCCGGAAGTATGAATTGGAATCGTGAGGCTACCTGCGTGTTTTTTTACGTGAAAAAACGAATGGGTTAATGCGGACATTTCTTTATTTAACCAACTGTGGCAGAAGAATGAGCAGAAAATTAAGAAACTTGACGCGACAGTTTTGGATGCCTAAAAGAATTTGGGATCTATCAAAGTGGGCGAAGCGTACTTGCAAAGTTTAATTAACTTTCCCGCACTGGAGACAAGGTGAGGGAATGTTTGAAGAATTCTCATGCTTGAGAATGCTCAATTTGTTTTGCACTGGGAAGCGGCTGAAAGTGCGCTTCGACAGTGCTTTGCAAAACCGTAGGACAGGGCAACAATATCGATCTGACTTTCCAGATTACTCGTATTGGTCTCGTCTTTGATGATTTGGATCATAGCACTCACAATTAGCTGTGATTTTGTCGGTTTTGTAATGAGTTTGCCAGTTTTTACGAGGGGTTATCTTTTTTATGCACAGTCTGCTGGGGGACAGCGGTGATCGGGATCGGCGAAACCGGTTGTGGGTGTAAGCATTAAGATTTATGAGTTAGACGATGCTTTTTTTGAGTTAGACTATGAATTTTTGCGCCCCGCGTTGATTTTTACGTGTTAGAACTTCATTAATATTCACACTTTTTTAACGTAATCTTCAACAATTTATAGTACTGCAAAGGTTTAGAAAAATCGGCGGAAAGTGGGACCTTAAAGCTGGACAGGCTGGGCTGGTGAACTAAGGTGGCTGGAGATGGGAGTTGCGCGCGACAGATGGAGATAAAATTGGGTTTGGAGAAGTCGAAGATGAGCAGCTTGGTTAGCACGTTTACCTGTTCGGAGATATTAGAGTACGATATCTTCGTGACATATACCGTCCTGTGCGCGACGCTGACACTGGAACGAGCGAAAATTGAAGAAAAGTAGTTGTTGCATCATTTTAAAGTGAGATTAAATTTTTCATTGCGGTAATTTTTTTTTGTGCCCACCGACCATTTTACGTAAGATTTGGTATGGGTACTAACACTTCCGCTTTTGAAGGTTAGTTGCTAATCCAAGTTGTACAAGTACTATTCAATTATCGTATTGTGGCAGGACTGCCAGTATATAGCACCTGCCCAGCATTCTTGTTTTCTGGTTTTCTGGTTTGCAACTTTTCATTGGAGTGGAGCGAGTACATAACTACGGCGGTCGCTTCTTAATTATAACGTTGCTAATGGCTGTTCATCAAATACCATTGTATTAGGTGTCTCCGGAGCGCTTCGATTGTGGAAGTTTGCTTAGAACGCCGGATTCGTGGCAGATTCTCAGCTCGTTGTACGGATTGCATTATGCTGAATTGTTTCTACAGCTGGGTAAGCTTTTCTTTCCGAAAAGATAATTTGGAATTGAAAACAAATTTTGTGATATTATTTAGTACAGCAAACGTTCGGCGGAAATTGAAGATAGACCGGTAGTGGGCTGATCATTACCGCCACTACACACTGGAAATGCGTATCCTCGCCTACAATCCGCTGTTTGAGTCCTATCAATCCTGGACGCTCGATTACATCATCCAGGCTTTCGGCGTTACGTCTGGTTTTGTTGACAAGGAACTATCGCACTTTACTGCCGCTGGTCACCTGCACTCCAAAACTGATAAGGTCAGTACACGGGTATAGGTACAAGTTGTACTTACAGTGCAGTATTCGTATTAACTGGTGGCTATGATTTTCTGGGTTTTGTGCAAGAGAACAGCAGACTAAGAAGTATTCCGTAGATAACATGCATTTAAGAAGTAAATTCCCTACTAACTGAATTAATATGTTTAAAGGTAAACGGTATGGTGGAAACATCCCGGCCAGATAACAAGAACAGACCATATCAGTTGTTCATTAAGCAAGGTGATCATTTACTGAACAACATCCAGCGCCTCTCAAGAGTTTTTAACGTTTGATTTTTTTCCTGTTTTCCGATGTGTTATGTACTTTTTATAACAATTTTGGTCACTTTTGCTTCGCTGCTGAATACTGTTTGATTTTTGCCATTTCTGTCATTATGAAGTTCCAAAACGTTCCTAAATCCTCAATGTACCGTCCTAAAACTAATGATGGAAAATCTAGTCTTGCTGGAAGCATGAATTGGCAATCTTGAGGCACCTGTGTGGGTTTTCTTTGACGTTAAAAAACGTACGCAAATGACAATCAAAACATGAAATGAAATCTCTGAAAAAACGCTGGCATTAATTCTAATACTGTTGGTAATTTTACTGCCGCAGCTCAACAACTTCTGTCAGTGACAAAGTAGTACTGCAATTCAGAAATTGTTATGTACCAACACTAATAAAGTACAAAAAGACTCCTAAATTTATCCGAAAATAAAAATCCTTATGCCGGTTAACGGCTCCGTTGTCAAGTATAGTGTAAAGGCAGTACTGTCGGCACCATTACGTTCCTTTGTTAAACTGCTTCAGTTTCATTGTACACTGGCGGCATTTCAGGCGTGGGATCGCAATCCGATCAAAGCACGCCGACGATGGGCAGGCTTTCAGTTGGCGAGTCGTTTTAATAGGCTAAAAAATAGCGCGGTAATTAAAAACTTAGTGATTGGTTTTGTACCTCAATGCACGGATCAGCTCGTTGCTTGCTAGTCCAAAAAAGTTTATGAAAGCGGGATACACTCTTTATCCCGGTTCTTTTTCGCGCCAGTTTTTCGGCTGGCTTACTTCTTTCCGTTCCGAAGAGAATTTCTGTTGGTTAGAAGTAACTGTAGTTATTTGTGAAGTCTTTGATCATACATTGGTACTGACAGTTTGTTGAAAATGGAAGATAATGCATCGTTTCCTCACAAATGTGGAGTAGCGGATTGCCGATGCGTGCTCCAGTTATCGGAACAAAGAAGATTTACGTGGAATCCAAACGAATTCTGCGCGGATTGTTCACATTATTTATCATCTCATGTGTTCGCAACAGTTGTAGCGGAATCAGTATGGAATGGAAGTACCGCACACGGAACTGCAAGGAACGGTAACACAGGACAAGCTGGGGCGACGGGAGCAACGGATGCCAGTCTGACCCTCAGCAACAGTTTACGCGTACCTAGCACGAATGTGCAGGTGGTTGGAATGCCGCAGTTTCGTTTGGCTGTCCAGCCTCCGCGCCCAAGCCAGCCCAGAGTCAACGCAGCGCTGTTTTCTTCGCCGGTTGGATTTCAACATCAGATTCCCGGACAATGTGGAACTCTCCGTCCAGCTGGCACCGGTCTTATGGACGTTGGTTATTCTCGAAACCGTATCCACACAGCCCGGAAGCCTAGCGTTGCTGCTTACCGCAGCCAGGGCAGTTTTAACTCACCGGTTGCGGTGCCGCTGCCAAAACCTAATGTCCTGAAAAAACACGTGTTCATGGTTCATCTATTTCGCAAAACGGAATTCAACGTTATTCCTGCGCGTGGAATGGATGCGTAAGTGAAACTAAACTGTAATCAAATTAAGTGTATTTATTGTGTAATTTTAAAATGTTTCTCTCAGAAATACTGAGCGGGTTGGCAAGTTTTTATGAGGCATACTGATTTAGGAAGCGAGAATGGAAAGTGTGCTCTGAATGCACTGCAGTAATAGGACGCCGGTGCAATCTTACCAACTTATGAAACTTCGAGATTCTCACTTAAAGATATAGTTCTGGTGAATTTAACAGATGTCATTTCAATGAGATCGATTTCATGAAGCACTTCGACCTGATTCGAGAAGTTACATGCAACAATGCAACCATGGAAGAAATTCGGGGACGTGTGACGGAGGCGTTCAGTGACGTACTTCAGGGCCGAGACTGGGCTGTTATTACTCGAATGGAAGACGGAAAAGCAGAGGGAAATTATCTGTTTCCGGCTGAATTTAACGCTCCCAGTGCTTGGGGAAATTTTAAGTCGTAAGCTTGTTCATTTTTACCGTGAAGCTTAAAATAAAATGTTTTGTTATATTTTCTTTGTTCTTTTTAGGTACACGGAGAAAAAACGAACGGAGTTAAATCCCAACTTATTTATCGCCCCAACGACGAACGCTATCACTGTGCCGTATGATGTTGTTGCACAGTTTGCTGAAGTAAGTACTAGGTACTGTACTCGTACATTATATGGGGAATTTTGCCATTTTTTAATTTGACTGAAATACAGTTGTTCTGACCACTTGACTTGGGTTTGCAGATGCGGGGTGTAGAAGTTGAAGATTTGAAACTGAAACACGTTGAAGGTAATAAAATTACAACAAATTTGTAGTTATGTATTTAGAGGTTATATCAACTTCTATTATTTTTATTCAATGCAGAGAAAGAGCGCCGCGGGACTGAAGCCGTATCTCCGCCTATCTTGCCGGAATGCGAACCATCGACCTCACAAGGGTTACGACGCCGCTCTTACGACCAAATGAATGTCGATGTAGATTTGGACAGTTCAGACTCGTCTCCCGTCCGAGAGCTCCAACCAAATCATGGCCCAGGAAACCGAGGAATTCGTATGGCTATGGGTGTTCCAGTAAATTCGGCACTACATAGTTTCCGAATTCCTTCCCATCAGATCGTAGTGAATCGCACTGAACAGCCACCGCAAGATGTCATTATTGTAGAAGACGATGCCGAAAACGCTATTGGATCGCCGTCTACCGGTGACTCCGGGTCTGTCATACGAGCGACAACTGTGAATGGCGATGAAGGAATTAACGCCGGCCAAAGTGTTAGTGATGGTGGCATCGATGCCGTTAACCTGAGTAACCACACCGTAATCAGTGCACCGATAAAGGTGATGATGCGAGTTGACTCCCTCCCTCCGAGTCCGGAACATCCAGATTTAGAGGCTGTTCGGGAAATGATGTGTCAAACTGTTACTGGCTCTCACTCATCGGCCCTATCGGAAGCTGTTTTTCAGTGGAATACTTGTGATCTGGAGACTCTTGTCCGCGTTTTCATTGAATTTTATTCCGTGCACAGGGATAATCTGGAGCTTGGTGGCCGGATTAAAGTCAGGAGAAATGAGTAAGTTGTCAACATTCTCCGTTAAATCAGATAGTGAGGCTGCTTAGTTTATTTCTTTGCAATTCTACATGGCGAGTGACCTTTGACGTAACTTTTTACGGACGCAATCGAAACACTGGTTATGTTGGCTGCAGTGCTTGTGATTTGGGCGGACCCTACAAAGAACTGTTCACCGTCCTGTGGGAAGCATTCCGCAGTTTTAAACTGGATGAGCTCGGATCAACCGTTTTCGAGGAAGCGGGTTGCAAAGTGTTATTTACGGGTTCAGTTGTCATGTCCGACGAAGGAAAAAACTTGTTGCGATGTATGGGATTTGCTTTGCGTGAGGCGATTCTTCGTTACGCACCATCTCCAGTGTGGCTGAATAATTCGATTTTTCGTGCACTGTTGGGCTTACCAGTAGAATTGAATGATATCCAAGATTTCAAAAAGAGCGTCGGAGAGATGATAAGCCATATCCTTATGGGCAGTGGAGATATTGTGATCACTCAAGTACCTTTTCTCGTGGATTGGTCTGAATTAAACCCATCGTTCAATGTAAGTTCAAAGAAAACAGGCGGTCTGTGTATCTATGTAACAAAATAAATTCTTGAATTTAAAGAAAAGTTTTTTAGTTTGATTCAATTTTTTTTATTTTATTCCAGATTTCCGGTATGGCAAAGCTGGGAAGAGAAACATTTTGTCGTTACCTGGCGCAATATGAACTGGTTGAAAAAAGAGCAGCAAATGTCAAGTACGTTCTGGAAGGAATGCTGTCTGGTAGCATGGAACGGGTACGTACAACCGGTTTTCATTGTAAAGAACTCTGATTGCTTGATTTACTTGAGCTTGCAATTTAAGTACCAAAAATTCTTCCAAATACTGGATAATATAACATCATGATACCTAACATAAGTGTTGTACATACAAACGTTTTCATGTGTAAGGAAATACGCCGGCTGATCCCTTATTGGAAGGATCTCGAAGAATCATTTTATTGGGCTGTTACATCAGCCCATGATCTGCTGAGCAAGATTGAGCCACCAAATTTTGGATCTGGCATCTGGAAATTCAATAAGGAAATCGTCTTCGAATGGTTTGAAAATCTCGTTTCCAACGATTTGTCCTGTGTTGAACGTCAACATTTATTGCGTTTCATTACGGCTTCGATTTGTGCCCCAAGAACACCGATCCGTATAGAGTTCAGCGCAGAACTGGATGAAAATTGGTTGCCGACAGCTTGCACATGTTTTAACCGCCTTACATTGCCGACCGGCTGTTCGTCTCAAGAAAAATTACTAGCTGGTATTCGCCAATGTATTGCAAGTGTTGCGGTCGTTTCTGTGGAACAAGGTTCTTTTCAGTTTAACTGAGTTGATGTGAAAGCTGCAATAAAAACAAGAAGCAGTTTAAAAAACCTTTTTTTTTCAAAATTTTGTGTTCTATTATGTTTTAATGATTCAACGATTTTTTGGCTGTCTTTTTGTCCGCGTTTGAAAATGTTCTGCGTTCGAATTTTTGTACGGGCGATTTAACCGCATTGTCAATGAAGGTCCTACGAAGTAGGTATTTATGGTATTTGTGCAATTACATAAACTGGTATCAGATAGCAAATTTCGCTATTAGTAACTAAAAATTATGACTGATTGCAAAATAACTAGCTGACCCTTTTGTAAATAAGCTGCCAAGTCTGAAAGTTGCATGCACTGGTAAGGCTTGTTACTACGAAGAGATTTCAACGAATAATATTTTTGTTAAGTCGAACACGCAAAACTAGATAAAAAGAATTTATCCCGTATTTTGTTTTGAATAAGGTCATCCGTTTGCAAATCAATGGCAGCTGTTGCTCCTTCCAGTACCAGAATGTTTGGTTTCCTCAAAAGCACACGCGCCAAACAGATTACATGCCGCTGCCCAACACTTAAGCAACAAATAACCTTCCGTACTTAGCATCACAACTTTCTTACGTTACAGTAGCTCAGGTAGAAGCTTTCAAATCTTAAACAGTTTTACAAGGTCACGTATTTATTGTAAAGTACCAAAACAATCCCCAAGCAGACCGCGGAATATGCATGTAAAGCATTGAAACATAAAAACAACTAATCTCCGAAGAAAAACTGTGTGCACTGCGTATCTATAGTTTTCACCACCATCGACCGCAAGATGATTCGCCTATCAAGGGAGTTCATTTGACGTCCAGTAGACGGTTGGGGAAAATATCCATCAGGATAAAGTACACCATACTGGGAACCAACACACTACAACACTACATGCATACAGCGTCAGCAGCAGGAAAGGGCGACTGCCGGTTTCCGGATTTCCTCTGCTCGGCCGAAGGCGGTGCTGTAATAATTATTATAATGCTGATCTTACAGCCGCCGCTCTCCGGCGGAAATTTTTCCACAGGAGAACCGCATAACTGACTGGAACGAGTAGCTGTGGCATATCGAAAACCAAAACCGCCGCGAACGTCCGCCATGCAACCTGCCGTTGGGCATTAAACCGGCAACCCTTATCAAGCGGCAAGCTACAATACATGGCATCCAGTATAACTCCCGGTAGTGTTAAAATATGGACATACACAATCATGGCTAAACACAAAAGCCATGCAGTAGATAAATATCATAAATTTGTGGCGTGCTCTGTATGATATGGGAAAAAATAGGACCCAGGCGCGATTGACGTTAATAAGAAGATGACTGTGAAAGGTCACCGCGGTTAAAGTATAGAGGCAATAGAGCTTGATTGTGCAGGCATCGTTGCCGATCCACCGTGTTCCATAGGGATCATTAAGGATGAGCATTGTGTGTTCGATTCCGATGAAGAGCATTTTACTGGATAATAGTACAATGATATACACGTTAAGTGGGGTGCGCTGTAACCGTGAATCCGATAAGTAATCGATCCAGATGCCGCTTCGATAATGCGGAACAAGGCCAGCGCCATGGAACTCTTGCCGGCTCCCGTCCGGCCCACAATACCGATCTAAATAAGCTGTTAAATCTCACTTTGCGGTATTAATTACCGAAAATCCTGTTGATTGTCAATTGTCCTTTACAAATTTTAAGTGACGATTCAAAATATTTTCGTTTCTCGCATTACAAGCACTACATAAAATCACTCTATTATTAATTTAGTCGTGTAATTAAGCGAACTCAGGTAAAAGGAAAAATGCACTATGAGTAAGACAGGTGTGTTTCCATCACAAATGACCTTTTCGCTACTAGCGATCCGCGCCGTAACATCCTTCAACACCAAATCCAGACCCGGCCGGTAGCGTGCTGATAATCTTTGAAGTCCACACGTCCCTCTGGCGGCTAGTCGCCCGGTGGGCGTGAAGAAGACACAACCCAAGCCGTCTGTGAAATATTCAAAACGTTTCGACTGTTTTCAGAGCGCTACGCCTGGATAACTTGTTTACACCCGTTGATAGTACACACTTCTTGGGGTGCTTCCGAATACTCTTTGATGCGTTCCACCGCCACAATGTTGCTCTCCAACTCCGATGTAATCCACAGCACACTCGCCAGCAGCCCGGTAACGGATAACGAATAACAAATGGACAAACCTGCCTGACTCGGTTCCATCCCCCACGATAAATCTCGACCGGCCACAGCATACAGCGCGGCGGAAACCGTGATCAGGACACCGATCAGTTCCAGGCGAACAGCGATCCATCTACATCAGATCGGTCGATCAGGAAATCGGTAAATTATTAATTTCACTTTTTTAAACGCCAAGTTAGACCCAAATTATAAAACAAATTCAAAACTGTTAGAATGATTTAAATTTAGCGCTGACATGTTGCTCAAGATATGTGAGATGACCATGACTAACCTCTGCGAAACCAAACTCAAGTAGAAGCACATATCATTATTGTCCATCAAACGTTCATTTGCGCGGATAAATCGTTCCGTCTGTTTCGTAGAGATCATAACACCGGTTCCAGAAAGGGACTCTTGAAAGTTGGAGAAGATGGGGGATCGCGATACGGACTGCAAACGTTTCAGCTGTGTGCTTGTTACAATGTAGAAGCGCTGTGAAAGTAAAGCACGTCATTATCAAAACCTTCCATATTATTAGCAGCAAGCCAAAAATAGCCGTCAGTAAAACTAAGAACATAAAAATTATAGTAAAACAGTACGTCATAAGGCGCGACATAAAATACTCAGATTACGATCGCAACGACAAAAATTTTATCACAAGTACAACTCCAAGCGTCAAAGCGTGTCAAAGTGTACTAAAAGGTTAATATGTAATTACTTTCTTTAGCAGCAGTACTAGCTGAGGTTACCCGTTAGTAATGTGACATCGCACTACATACGTAAATTGTCCATTTACAAAATCAATGAATTACTGATACCTGTTTTTCTATTTACTGATAACTATTTTTTTTAATTACTGATACCTATTTCTGATACCTATTTACATTGCCATTTTCAAGCATACCTGCAAGAAAAACTACAGGGTGACCAGAAGGATGAGAATGATGATGAACACCCATGCGGTCACACATATCTGCAATCAAGCCATTATAAATCAATAATAAATCACCAGGAAATGGTCTAAAACGTGCACAAGTAAAGTCCGAAGTACGAAAGGAGAAAAATCTCAGCGCTAGCGAACAATCTTGTAAAGCAACAGTAAGCGTAACAGATAGTAATTACTACTCGATGCAATATTAATTAATAAGCTCCAAATATGGCTAATCAATAAACCGAACAAACAAGGAACCATACAAAAAACCTGTGAGTACTTAACGTGAGGAAGTATTCCTTACTTCTGTAAGACCGCTTGCTCCGTGTTAAGAGAGTTAATCGGCCACATTTTATGATTTAGTATAACAGATTTAGTACCACCTTAAATCGGTTTAGTGCGACTGATTTTCTTGAAAATCTGACGGAAATTAAACTAAAAGGCTTAACGAGAAATACACATACACTGTCCACATCCAAGCGCACCATAAACACCCAGCCGATAGTCCGTTTCTTTTCGGTCAGAATTTTGCAGTCTAGACCAATCACTCGACCAGAAACTCGCCGCCGCCCCAATCGCCGAATACCCGCCATAAAATATGAGAATCATGAATGCCGCCCGATATGACGAATGTTTATGAACGTCAAATACACGGTCCATTTCACACCTCCAATTTCCGCCTTCTCTGCTTCCACCAGTTTTCCCGGAGCTGGTTCGGGCTGCGATTTTTTCCCAGTTTCCCGATCCTTTCTGGATACCTTCAATGCCTGTCGCAGGACACTACGCACGCGTTTCAATGAAGACGCCGTAGATGATCGCCGGGCCTCGACATCACTATCGCTCCGGGACCGTTTCTTTCCCAGTTCTTCCAGCAGCTGCTCTTACCTCGACACTGTTTCCGGATCGCGTTGTGCGGTTTATACTTCGTCATCCTTCTCGGCCAGATACGTTCTCAAAAATTCCGCAAAATCTTCGCTGTTGCGGAGCAGCTGTTTGTAAGTGCCAGATTCAGAGACGGTGTGGTTGGCTAAAATGAAGATGGGGTCCGTCTGGAGCTGGTATCAAATGCCATGGGTAACCAATAGCCGTGTCTAGTTCTTCGGCATGTCGTTGGGTCAAATAACGCTTTTAGTTATGTGCTTCCCTCTGCAAAGCAACGATCCAAGTTTCGGTGAGACGTAATATTTCCCTAATTTACACGGATTTCCAATATAACCAGATCCAGACTACAAAAAGTTAACTGCTTAGTTACACTCGCAGCTGGCAAGGGAACCATAACAGTGAAACCCTGTTATACTTGTATATGCGCCTTCATTAGTCCTATGGTAAAACGCAAATCTTGAATATTCCGCCTCTGGCTGGCTGTTTGTAAACGAATCTCGCTTGCCGCTTTTTCTTTCGTGTTCCAGTTGTTTTTAATTGCAAACAGTATGCCGTTAGTAAAGAAATATTACATAAAATAAATCTGTCATTTGCGCCGTATCTTTTCGCCCAGACATGGAACAGTTTTTTAATTATGCTGATTCTATTATAAGGCGTTCTACGAGGCTGCTAGCTTCCGCAGACGGTGATCGGGATGGTGTGGATGGTACTCTTACTCAGATTGAATACTTGATCGGGTAATTCGAAGTGCACAAGCCATTTACACAGTCCAAATAGATTTATCAAATTTGCAGTTATACGAGAGACGTTTGTGAAAGTTTTCCTGAAGATCAGACTGTCCAAGCTCAGCGATTATTTGATGTTCTATGTGAACATTCCACTGGTTTGCGCACTTTGTTACGAGAAGACGAAAATGGAGGCGCCATGGATTTCCAGTTGGCTGTGCAAACGGGTTACAAAGGCAAGATTATGATACCAGAGGATGATCTAGCGGAGCTGAGATTCGACGGTTTTACTGTGAAAGATATTGCGGCATTCTATGACATTTCGCCAAAAACGGTCCAACGCCGGTTGCAGGAAGCAGATCTAAACAGGAAGGTACAGTGAAGACTTTGTATCTACCCTTTTATTGGTACATCTAAGAAACAGAATTCAATATTGAGAATGTATTAATAAATTATTAACGAGAAAGCTTTCACTTAGTTCTGATGAAAATCCATATGACAAATGTTTTATTGGTACGATACATTTCGTACTATAAATCATTTAACAGTAATCGTAATGCAATCGTATTGTGTTTTCAGCTTTCTAGTTTACTTTTTAGAACTCCGTGGTTGCTGACGATGATCTGGATATTGCTGTTACTGAAATTTTGGAGTCCTTTCCAAATGTGGGATACAGATTTGTGCGGGCGCAGTTAAAGTCGAATGGATTAACTTTGCCACGTCACAGGGTGATCAGTTCCATGAGACGGTTGGATCCGTTTGCCGTTGCCATTCGCTTTTTCCGATTCGTTCCTCGCCGACAGTATTCAAATCCCGGGCCGAACGCATTGTGGCACCTGGATGGCAATCATAAACTGGTTCGATGGGGTATTGTTGTGCACGGAATTATTGATGGATACTCTAGGTTTGTCGTTTCGCTACTGGCTGCGACAAATAACCGTGCGAGTACAGTTCTGCAAGCTTTCGTCAATGCCTGCGCGTCATCCGGAGTGCCATCTAGAGTTCGCACAGATTGCGGCGGTGAGTAGCGCAATAAGTACATATTATATAGTAAGTTGCAGTTTTCTAAATATGAAAATTTCTTAGGGGAAAATTTTGGCGTTGCCCGCTGGATGGAGCATTACATGGGTCCGAATCGTGGAAGTATTATTAGAGGGCCTTCCGTTCACAACCAGCGCATTGAACGGTTGTGGCGCGACCTGGGACGGGTTGTATTGAAATTGTTTCGATCCATTTTTATACATATGGAGAACATGGGAATTCTGGATATTAACAGCCAGCGAGACGTGATGCTTTTGCACCTAATTTTTGTGGATCGAATCCAAATGAAGCTGAATAACTTCATCTCCTTTTTTAACAACCATAAACTGGAAACCGAACGTAATATGTCTCCTCGGCAAATTTTCACTCTTGGATGCCGGGAGAAGGGACTGAAAGGATTTTCCTTACAGCAAGTTATGTTAGGTGATCCTCTGCCGCAATCCGATGTAGATATCCCTGAAAATTTTCCGGAATTCATAACGAATAATGCCGCGCATTCACGAGATTCTGTCCCCGTTTTTGATATTGTCAGCCTGTACCCTAATGAAGCCGCTTTCGTCTTAGCCAATCTGGACATTTCTCAAGAGGACGGATTTTACGGAATTCCTTTGTTTCAAGCAGCCAAAGAAATGTTGCATCAAACCTTTCCATTGAATCTGTGAAAAATACGGAAGTTGTTAATAAGGAGCTTCTATTCTTTATATACTGATTTTATTGTCGTTAATGGATGTCGGAACATTAAGGTACATTTGCGCCATTGTAAGCAGTTTCTTCATAGTTTCGGTGAACAACACATTGAACGTAACAATACTTAAACTCGATTGCACAAATCATGCAGTTTTACAAGTAGATTTACGGCTGTAGCTGGACGCAGTACGCATTACCGCAACAGCAAATGTAATTTCCGATGTAAGTCTTTTCACTTCAAATCCGTAGACGTAATAATTTCTCAAAACATGCAGACGAATATGTTAGATCTTGAGTGTTTAGTTTAGCATGCAGCGATAAATTACAGCGCAGCGCTTATTCTTCATTTTCTGTGGCTCAACCGTAAGTAAGAATTATAATTACGTATACATCTCGAACCAGGTTCGTTTAAATACTTACTTTAAGACTTAAGTTACTGTAAGCAGGAGCGCTAGATATTTCCCGCATACTTATTGCCATTAATTTGCGGCTACCATTCTCGAGATGGTGAATCTATCGCTCATGAATATTACAAAATTTGTTCACATTCATGCTAAGATTGCTAGCTATTGGTAGTTTTGTTGACAACTAATGGTATTAAAAAAGCAAATCTGATGTTCCAAAGAAATCACGTGCACAACTCGATAATTTAGGCTTGCTGGGGACTTTGGAGAGATGAGCACAAAATTTGCAGCATATCTTCTTGCAGATGCTGCTCCTTTCGTTTTATGGCGCAGCTCTTTCTTTCACACATTATCTGCCATGCGTCAGTTACCAAACTCATCTTACGCCATATTTCGAAATAAAAAATCGTAACGCGCCATACGCTTTTGTGACCTTTCCGCTGCTTTAAGATACTGTTTCACCTATGTTAATACGTGTCCCGCAGATTTAATACTATATTTGCGTCCGGAATGGCTTCGAAGTTACATTATTTCACATGTAAGAGGAAATATACTGTAATATTTTCGAAACATTCTGTCACTGGTCAAAGGTTCGAACCGGTATCCCAAATCAAGCCAGCTTAATGTCAATGCCAGTGCAACGTTATATATTTCCGACATTTTCTCCACTTGTTGTCGAAATTTTTTATTCCGTGATTTTTATTATAACTTTACAATACAGAAAAATAGTTCCTTATTACTTATTAAAAGTTTTATAATGGACGGCATGTAGCACCACATCGTTCAATAAAACTCCAACACTGTAAATAACTTACAAAGCCAACCCCACACGGATGGTTTGGAAAATAAAAAAACACCAGTGACAGATCAAACTCAGCGACGTGGCCGTGCAAGTTATACTTTAAAATGCATAAGCAAAATAAGCGAGTATTTGTACAAATCGCTGTAACTGGGCGGTGGAGCAGGATGCGGCCCTTTGGATTCTCCGGCAGCCGGCCATTACTTTCCGCCGCAGGGTAAAGCTAGAAAGGTCAGGCCGCCTGTTCCCGGACCGGTGATGTGGGATAAACAGCTGCTGGCTGCACATCGGCACGAGGGTAAAAACTCGGATGGGCTTCACCCACTATACAACAAAGAAAACCATTATTTAGCAGCTGTTTTTTGTTGCTGAAAACCTTTCATACACTCACTTAAATCTTCATCCATCTGCAAGTACGCTCAATTTCTATGAACAAGGTACAGGTACAACAGAGGAAAGGTACCGTACATAATAAGGTTCGCTCACACGAACACTTTAAAGTAAATAATGTTACTGTTATAGGTAAAACATTGCTGCGTAATTATATGATAATCAAAGCGTTTAAAATAGAGCAGCTAAAGCTGTTAATAGCTGCCCTTTAATTGTTGCTATCGCACAATAACGATCAATGCACTAGTTGCATATGATTCATCATTGTATGTTTATTTTCTATTGTCACACCCGAGCCACACCCCATTGTTAAATAACGTTCTAGATCTTTCTTAATTGTTTTTATGCTGATTTAGATTTTCTATCCCTGATGCTTAGAGTATATAAGCAGCACTGCGATGCTGCCAGAAAGGCGCTCTGTTCATTTCGACTTTCCATCAGTAAAGAGTTGCCACTAGCTGCTGTTTTGTTGCGAGTAAAGTTGGCTAGTATTAGTGCCATCTCCCACTATTCTCCATCATCCCGGATAGCTATATAGCCACATTTATACTCGTAACATTATACCGCTTCAAGCACGCAGAGCGGTAAGTGTAAAATTAATCTGCCGTAAGATTTCGTTTGTTTGCGACGGTAACGACTGCATGCAGTAATAACCTCTTGTCTTAAGCAGACGATAAAGTACTTCGAAGTATAAAATTTAACATCACATCGGAACAGTACATCTGACTGTTCCCATTGGTCAGAATTAGCATAAGATGCCCAGTGCGCACTTGGCTATAAAAATCGTGAAAGTATCCTACTAAAATTACTGACGTAACCATCCTTAGATTAAAATTAACAGTTTGCGTTTTTTCTATGGTAATAATATAGTAATCGCATAATAATCGAGCCGAAGATTGTCTGCGAAACCGTACAAAGCAGGAAACTGATACAATATGCGAAGTAGTGACAACAGAACACACGAACAGCTAGGGTATCTATTCACTGTAGATTTTTTTGGATACTGACCGTGATAAGCCACAACATTCGGAGGGCGGTAAACGACAATGGTGGATCGTGCTCGGTTAATCAGCATCCGCCGGCGGCAATAATATTCACTGGCAATGCACCTCAGTAAAACCAACACAATGACTAGCTGAAAAACGTGGACAAACCTAATAAAAACATGAATTTTAATGCTACAAATGTGTAGTAGTAATCAATGTACAACAAACGTAATAATGAATGCGCGCTTAAAAGGTAACACAATAAATGCGGAATAAAATTTGAGCGCCTGGATTTAACGCCGTCGCCGTCAGCCACATAAAATCGTAAACAGACAAGCATATTTCGACTTCTTATTAATGCAGTTCGCCAGCTTACGCTGTAAAGTTTTGAAATTACAGTTTTTATCAACTCTCCGACATCGATCTATCAGTACCCGAAAGTCATGAAACGTTTTATTCGGAAAACCCCAATAACACGATTAGACAGCCACAGTATTAACGATAATCAATACAAAGTATCTGTCAACATACCAAAAAGTACCACAGCCGAACGAAATGATCGGAAGAACGGCAGCATGCTTGACCGTAACAATAATTTCCCGCGTGCAGTCGAGGCGATGATCAGCCCAGTCAGTACCGGTCCGCTTTTACTTTCTGCTCAAAGTTTGCTGTAATCAAATATAAAATCATAAAATTGTTTAGAACTTTGAATTACCTTTTCGGAAAGAAAATGTTACCCATGTTGAAAAAATTCAGCATAATGCGATCCGTACAATGAGCTGAGAAACTGTCGCATATCCGGCATTCTAAGCAAAACTTCCACAGTCTCAGCGCTCCGGACACAACTAATACAATTATACTCGATGAATATCATTAGCACCGTTATAAGAAGCAACCTCCTTAGTTATAAATTCGCTTCAGTCGCAATGAAACGTTGAATAACCAGCAAACAAAAATGCTGGGCAAGTGCTCTACACTAGCAGTCCTTTCGTAGTAAGATAATTGAATAGTACTCATACGACTTTGGTTAGCAAGACAACTATCCCTTTTAAAGCGAAAGTGTGAGTATCCATACCAAAGTTTACGTAAAAATGGTCAGTGGGCACTAGAAAAAAAATTTAATACCACAATCAGATCCTTATCACCACTTTTAAATAATGTAAACACCTACTTTTTCTTTGTTTCACTGGTTCCAGCGTCAGCATCGCGCACATAACGGTATACGCCACGAAGGTATCGTAGTCTAATATGTATCTCCGCACAGGTAAATGTGCTAACTGAGTCCAGAAAATTGATGGTGGCTTTTTGAAACTCAAGCATCTTCATGCTTCGTACAGCTTTAGCCGGTTTCGTCGATCCCAATCACCGCCCTGCTACAGCAGACTGTGCATAAAAAAAGAAAACCGCTCATAATAACTGGCAAAATCATAACAGATATGCGCAGAAACTTCTTGAGCACTTCGAAGCCAAGCAATACGCACATCCATGCTTTATCAAAATTGTGTGCGGTTAAATCCAAATCATCAAAGAAGATACCGATACAGACAATTTGGAAAATCGGATCGACTTTGTTGCCGTGGTTTACGGTTTTTTCAAAGCGCTGTCGAAACGCACATTCAGCCCCTTCCTAGTGCAAAACAAGCTGGGCATTCTCAAGCATGAGAAATCTTCAAACATTCCCCCACCTTGTCTTCAGTGCGGGAAAGATTATTAAACATGGCAAGGCACGCTTCGCGCACTTTGACAGATCCCAAATTCTTTAAACATCCAAAACATCCATCCATCCATCCATCCATCCATTTAAACATCCAGCGCGTTAAGTTTCTTAATTTTCTGCTCGTTCTTATGCCACAGTTGGTTAAGTGAAGAAGTGTCCGCATTAAACCCATACGTTTTTTAACGTCAAAGAAAACATGCAGGTAGCATTACAATTCTCAATTCATGCTACCCAATATTATTGTCCGGGGGCAACTGTTTCTGCTCCACAGTAGCCATGTACTGGCATAACACAGACAGACGATCCTGGAGCATATGCACAGCGCCGGACATGGAACGCATGCTGATCTTGTAGGCAATGCCGCAATGGGGATGAACTTCGTCACGGGCTGCATATCAACAAAACAGTGCTTGAATTTCGAACTAATGTGATGCAAAAGGAAAAAATCTTAATGAGACTGAGAGCCTCCAGTAAATTCCTCCATCGATTCAAACAGATCAACGGCGAAGGAATCGGCCTTATTTGCATGGGCTTTTAGGAAAAAGTCCTCGGAATGCCAACTAGGAATTTCTGGATGAAGTCTTCGCGGCCAAACTCAACTTTCTGGATTAAAGGATCTGAATCAAAAAATAATAATAAATCGAAAACATGAAAATCAAAATTTAAAAAAAAATAAATCATTAATCAAGATCTCAAAAACTGAAAACACGAAAACCTGAAATCAAGAAAACTAACAGTTTTAAAAACTGAAAATCAAGAAATTGTGCACATGTGCGCACGTAAAACATGAAATCGTGCACACGTGCGAATCGTGAAAATGTACACACCGACAAACTGGCAAACGAGAAAACTCGAAAACTTGAAAAACGGCTGCTGACCCAAACGGACCGCCATAGTGCCGATCAGTTGTTGATTTTCTGTGCTCCAGACTTTCAATAATATTAAAAGTCAGCTATACGCGGTGCGACGTTTTGTGTTTCCGCATAGTTCGCTACACTTCCGCGTAGCTCACTCCACAGGATAGATCCCGTTTCTGTCTCTGTCTCTGGATCCATTCTGGATCTAGCTTTAGATGGTAGCAGAGCCGACAGCGATTCTCTGATTGAATTGATTTGATCTGTCAGGCATATTTGGCCTGTTATTCGACGTGTTACCCGCGACCAGCAAGGCGCAGGTCTATACCACAGCAAAGTGCACACCACAAGCGGTGCAAGTTCCTCATCGGACGCGGATTACCAGCTTTGGTTTTCGGTACGGTATCTTCAGCGAAGAACCGTGCTGTTTCCTTAGCTGTGAAAGAGTGCAAGAGTTCAGTCGTCAGTGTTCCTCGGTGTAGAGTCTTCAGCGAAGACCTACACTGGTGTCACTGATACTCGGCAAGGCTTCAGCGAAGCCTAAGCCGTGGGCCACAAGAGGCGAAGCGCCGAAAGGGGCGTACGGGGAAAAGACAGATCAGACTCCACCAAACTGGTTGCAGAGCACCATTACTGTTGCTACGGCACAGCCGGCACAGTAACAGACTAATAGCGCGAGGCACGCTACGGAACAGCGGCGACGCGGGAACGGATTTGGAGAAGAACTGGATCATCTGGATAATTTTTCCCGTGGAACGGACGGTCAACAGGTAGAAAACCGTTATTAATTACGGGATTGGGTAGATGGTAAAATTGGCAATTTCTATTGGTCCGTTCTGAGCTGAGCATAGACGTAGGCGGAGTTTTGCACGCGGCGCGCATGTCTGGCCGTTGACCGTGACGTCAGGCAGATATAGATTTTTAGAGGAGCAACGTGATTGGTCAGTTATCTGAGCTGTGATTGGTTGAAATTCGAACTGAATAATTTGAGCTAGCCGACCAATAGGAAAGAGGTAAACAACCCGAATGGGGATTTTCCGTTAAACTTGAGCGGTAAAAGGAAATTGGATTGGAGATGAGATAATTGAGACAGAAAGTGACCTTTTGAGTTTAGACAAAGGAAAAGTGACCTTTGATCAAATTGAGCTGGAAAGTGACCTTTTAACAAAAAACGAGTTGGAAAGTGACCTTTTGAGTTGAGTTGAGGCGGAAAGTGACCCTTAAGATCAGAAGTTGACCTTTTAGTTTGGAAAGTGACCTTTACTAAAAAGTTGGAATTGACCAGATTGACCTATTTGAGTGACCTCTAAGATTCAAAACTGACGAACGGTGACCTTTATCGAAGTGAAATTGAACCGAGGTGGTACAGCGATATCAGCAGCTGTAGGATTTCATTCGCTAACGTGTTTCGAACTGTAAAAGCTGTTTCGAAGTTTTGTCCGAAAGTGACCTTTTAGGGCAAATCTCTCGAACTTTTTATCGAAAAAGTGACCTTTAAACGGGACTTAGTCGAATTTTTTCAATCGAAAAGTGACCTTTAACAGGGACTTAGAAAAATTCGTAGAACGTAAAGTGACCTTTAGGGCATTCGAATAAACCATACAATAACGCGTGTGTGAGAACAATTGGCAGGAGCGTCCAAGTTATCCGATCAACATGGACAAAGACAATGAGGAACCGACATCACACAGCAGCCAGGGAAGCAGGAGCTCCCGAGGATCACAGCAAGGCGCAGTTGATCCTTATAAAAAAAAATACAAGTCGCTCGCGCGTCCAGTTGGACATGACAGACAGACCCGAGCAGCTGTGACCTTTGCAAGGAAGGATAGCAAAGGCAGTGACAGTACATACAAAGTGGCGCTGGGAGCTACAGAGAACGAAGAGAGCTCCAGCGGAGATGGAAAGCAAACCCCCGCGTTCGTGGCGGGAGGAAAACCGATGAACCAGAAAAAGGTCACCGGGGAGGATGGAACCACAGAAAAGGAAGCGGAAGCAGTGGGGGCATCACAGCTGGATGCTACCACTGTCGGAACTGACGAGCAGGATAAAAACGTGAACCTGGCTCAAAGGGATGTTGGACAGACAAAGGTCACCGAAGAGGAATTGGCTGAGCTTGGATTGGATGACCTTTCACTGAATGATAGGACTGCAGGCGATGACCTTTGGGCAACTCCAATGGTCTCAGATGAATCTAACGAATCATACTATACGGACGATGAAACGACGATGAATATGTCCTTTCAAACTGCGATAAGAGAAGCCGATCGTGCTGAAGAGATGACGCCTTTCAAGGAAATACCCGAGCACTTAATTGAACGGACACAAACAGGAAAGGTCATCAATGTACGACCATCATCACCAAACAGTCCCACGTTAACTCAGAGGAAACGCGTGAGTGAATTGGAAAACGAACTTGAAAGCAATGAGCGTCAGGCGGACAAGCGGACACAGGAGTATCGGGAGAGACTGACGACACTTGAGAATCGCTTATTCGATCTGGAGCAGCAACAGGGTGACCTTTAAAGTGCCGCAGATGGTTGGAAAGTGAAATATGAAAGACAGAAGGAATTGGCTGACGAGTATTTGAAAATGGCAGATGACAGAGAGATGGAAGGTCATCTCGCAGTCAGTGACCTTAACGAGAGTATGTCGGAAGAGTCAGCCGAAAGGTCACAGCACTCAGCCGAGTTGAAAGACGAATGTGACTCGTTGAAACAAAAGGTCGCCGAAGCCGAAGCTAAGAGGGACGAATATGCGACCAAACTCGCCGAAGCTACCCAACGATTGTTGACAAATACCACTGAGGTATTCAAGCTCAGGAACGATCTGAAGCAACGGGACGAGAATATCGGAATACTCCAACGAGAATCGAAAGGTCATCAGAGAAGAGCTGATGAAGCCGTCCAAGCGGCTAAAGACCTGAGGGACCTTACAGCCACTGAAGGAGTGAGGCTGAAAAACGAGATTAAGCAGGTGACGGAAGAGAACAAAGAGTCGAAGGAAGATAACGGAAAGGTCACCGAGGAGAACAAAGAACTGAAGGAAACCGCCAAGACACTTGCCGAACAGGGCTTGAGGTGGGAGCACGAGGCACATCTCTTAGACACAAAGGTCACCGCGCTCGAATTGAAAGATAAGGAATGGCAACAAACCGTCCATCAGAAGACACAGGAGATCAGCAAACTCAACACGGAGTTGATTGACATGACCCAAACGGTAATGACAGGGGAGGATGAGCTCACCCAGACGAAGAATCAGTTGAAGGCAGCAGCCGAGGAATATACGAAACTAGAAAGAGATGTGACCCAGTTGGTGGAACACATAAAAAAGATGGAGAATGACACTGAAAAGGTCATCCAGGAGAAAACTTTCCAACTCCACCAGCATATGCTGAAGGTCAAGGAGGAGAATCAGAATCTGAAAACGGAGAAGGAAGAATTCCAGTTGAAGGTCAGACGCCTCGAAGATGAGAATAAGGCCCTCAACGTGTCGAACAAACACAAGGACGAACAGTTGTTGCAATATGGAGTCAGAACTACAGCAGTGGAGTCACCCCGCCCAGTTACAGTAAAGCACATGAAACGGGCATGGGCAAGAGCTTCCACTTTGAAATGCCGCTGCGAACTGGCACCGGTAAAGGAAGCATTAAAGCGGAAAGAGACGGCGAAAAGGTCAAAGACGACAAGGAGCCGCCATCGGGAGGTTATCCACATACGAGTCACGGCGATCCTTCTCAGTTTCCCCCACATATTGAAACAAATGTGTTCATCGACGAAGGCCGACGGGACAGACCCCCCAGCCGGCAAGAGCGCCCACGGAAGTCCCGCTACGGAAAGGCGAAACGAAACCAAAATGACGATGGAAGTAGCGAAGAGGAGGATAACCCGACAGCAGAATCGACAGCGGCACAACTGACAAAAGCACTCAATTCGATGGCCCGAAAAACGACGTTAGTAACCTTTGATGGAAGTCGCGATGCAGTAAATGGGTGGACACAATTGGTCCGAGATACTCAGCGGACTTATCAACTCACGGACGACCAGGTCCTGATTGAAATAGCTAGCGCGGTGAAAGGACCAGCAAAAACTTGGTTCGAAGGAGAGAGGGAAATCGCACTCCAGGAAGAGATGGAGTATACGATAACAGAATGGATGAACAAATTCAAAGACGAATATGGTGACCGTGATGAAGAAGTCCTCGGCTTACGAGAAGCCATGGCAAGGAAATTCGACCTTGGAAAAGAATCGCTCGACTAGTTTTATCAAGCGATCATGAAATACAAGGCGAAAAGGATCATTACTGAGAAGCAAGCAGTCGGTTTCCTTATCGAAGGATGCAGAGTGGACAGTGACCTTTATAAGGCACTACGCACGCAACAGTGTAGAACACCGACCGAAATCAAAGACTTTTTCCGACACTGGTCAGCCGGAGAAGAAAAGTACAAAGCACCAAAAGGTCAACGCAACCAGGACTATGTTACAATTCGCACTGGACAAGTCGAAACGGTGCCACAACAAAGGGTCGCGGCAGCACCAGTTCAGCAACCGGTTGAATACCGAAGGGAGGCCCCGATGCAAGAGGTCACCAAGGAAGTGACCTTTATCGATAGCCAGACAGGACAGCCACTTACATATGCAATGGTCGCGGCGATACAAGCGGCGGCTCAAGTGAGACCGGCACCTCAGAATGTGGCCCCACCGGTACCACAGAACGTGGCCCCTATGAATGTAGGGTTACCACAACAAGGAGTGGGTAACGGAAATTTCGGTGGAAACGGTTATGGAAACGGAAACTGGAACGGAGGTCAAGGAAACTTCCAGAACCAAGGCCAAGGACAAGGCAACTTCCAGCCAAACAGAGGAAATCAGAACTATCAGCAGAATCAAGGGTCACGAACGGAGTTTAAGTTTCAGATGATAGATGGATGGGTGGCGAACAATGCGCAGATGTGCCAATACTGTATGTATGGCAATCACCAGACGCAAGGATGCAAGTTTGCGAACACACCACCAGAACAGAACCCGAATCTGTTTGCCTTCAGAGAATGGCAACGACTGCGCGGCCTGGGTGGTTGGCGTCAAGCAGTGGCAAATGGATATGACATCATCGCCCAATGGTACCAGCATAAAGCCAGCTTCCCAAATCAGCAAGGAAACGGAAACTATGGGAATGGAAACGGAAATGGTGGCCAAGGCGGTGGCAATCGTGGTGGCTACCGCGGCGGCTTCAGAGGGAGAAACAGAGGCTATGGCCGCGGAAACTGGAATGGCGGCAACCGTAACGGTGGAAACGGATGTGGCCAAGGAAACTACCAACAGGGCGGTGGCCAATACAATAATGGCGGCGGCGGACAGAATATGAACCCGGCCAACGAAATTGGGCAACAACAGGGAAATGTGCAAGGCGCTCAACAAGGAGGTGCGCCGGTTCAGGGAAACGGGCAAGATCAGTAGGCGCCGGTGAGCCTACTGATCGACCCGACCCGAAACCACCGGATAAACGGGGAACAGAAAGGTCACCACTGCAGAATGGTACTGCAGTGAATGTGACAAAGGCAACGGCTATATGGATGCCGCCACAGCAAAGCGAAACGGTTAAATGGATGTCGTCATTGCAAAAAGAAATCGAAACGGCTATAAGGATGCCGTCACAGCAGCGAAATGAACTGGTTATCGGGAAACCAGTACAAGTGGATAAAAGGTCACCGCAGAATGGTACTGCAAGTGGAAACGTTCAAGTGAATCAAAGGTCACCGCAGAATGGTACTGCGAGTGGAAACGTTCAAATGAATCAAAGGTCACCGCAGAATGGTACTGCGAGTGGAAACGCGCAACGGGACCAAAGGTCACCGCAGAATGGTACTGCGAGTGGAAATTGTCGTGACGGTAGCGCGACACTGCGAACAGCGCAGCAAAATGAAAGGTCACCGTATTGCAGCGAAAAGGTGTTAGCTGAACGCCGTGCATTACGCAATGCGAAGATTCAACAGGCGTTGTTGAATCAAAAGAAACCGCAGAACGACACTGCGCAAGAGGAAAATGAGCAACATGCGAAATTCCGGAAATACTTGGCAGAAAATGACAAAGCAAATGAGTCACGTTGCGACTGTTACGGAGAAATAAAGCCAAAGTTCTGGAATTGTTCGGAGGACGAAGAGGAGAAGATGATAAGGCAAAAATGGATGGAGCAGAATATCACTGCTAACAGAAGAGATGAAAGGTCACCTTCCGTGGGAAAAATCCAAGTGAGAGGTCAAGGAGCGTGCGAACGCTAAAGGTCACGGCGACAGCGTCGTGTTAAAAGGTCAAGAAACAGACTTGACACTGCGAACAGCGCAGCACAAGAATAGCGAACCGGCACAGCAGAACTCCGACGACTCACTTGTGGATGCAGTAACGCTGCAACGGAAGGAAATATGGCAAAAAGTAGCCTATAGACCGAATGGGAATCACGGGATGTGGATACCTGTGACGCCAAAAGCAAAACAGAAAGCGGGAATGTCACAAGAAGACTACAGGGACATGCAGGAATTGCGAACGCAATATGAAAGAAAACGACTGGAAGAATTAGTTACCGGGAAAGAAGTTAAAAGGTCACCGAACCTTGCTCCAGTATTCAACGCAACTGAATACAAGAATGCACAAGCTGACCTGAATAACCCGCGAAACGCACAACCGAAAGATAAACCGCCGAATTATGGAGAAAAAGTTCCCATACAAAAGTTGACGGGCGGCGGATTTGTCATGAAGCGCAATGAAAGGTCACAGGACTTAGCGCTAAAAGAACAGAAAGGAGGGTCAAATGAGATGGCGCAAATGCAACAGAGTAGTGCAGTCGAAAGGTCACGAGACTTCTCACAAGCACTACAAAAGGACGCCAATGACAAGTCACCAGCCCGAACAGACGGGATGTCTTCACAAACCGACCCGACGAAAACGAACAATGAAGTGTCTGCAAAGGTGATTGAATGGATGACCGAAAAGGGATATGACATGGTAACATATGAAAGGTCACCGAATGAGATGAAAGACAGCGAAGCAGACGAATTGAAGCGAGCTGACCAAATAACAAGTGAAGTCATTGAGAAGCTAAGAGATAAACGAAATGAAAACCGCAAAGAGGAACTGATCCACGAGACGATAAATGAGGTGACTAAAGGTCACGTGGATAGCACAAAAGCAAATGAGCAAGTGCAGAATGTTGAAAAGGTCACCAGTGGTAAAATGGCTGCAGAGAAGCAAGCAGATAAGAAGAAGCCGCAAAAATTCTACGACGTTCGAACTAACGTCCCACACAGGATTGACAAGCTAAGCGAAATACTGAAAGGTCACAGTACTTCAGCGAAGGAGCAAGTGCTTCCCGATATGGATCCGGGACCAGTATCGCTAATCCCCGTGAAGTGTAAGATTCACACATTGAAGATTCAAAATGGAAGATTGCCCAAAAGAATTGAAGCATACACACACGAAGTGAAGGTGGGAGATATAAAGGTCAACGCAATGCTGGACACCGGCGCTGAGACGTCGCTGATCAGTAAACCGTTTTGTGAAAAGAATGGACTTCATATGCTCCCATTGCCACCAGACAGACTGGTGAAGATAAATGGAATTAGCGGAACGTCAGGATTCCTGGTGACGCACTACTGTGTAGCACCAGTGACCTTAAGGAAAAAGACTAGTGAACATTCCTTTTACGTCCGACCGAAGTGTGACGACGTACAGGTGTTATTGGGATTCGACTTCCTGGAAAAGAAGTTCGTACTGATGGATAATGAGGGGGAAGAAGAAAAAGAAGATGACCCCAAACCAGTGGCCAAAGTCCAAGTCGGAAAGGTCACCGAACTTGTAAAACAGACAGGGAACGCTCAGACTGATAATAAGATGCTAATCCCAGTACCAGAGGCACCGGGAAAGGAGCAGAAAAAGGTGGCGCAAAAAGAATTGTCGACATTTGAGCAGTTGAAACTGATCCAACAGGAGATCGAAAATACATTAAACCGGACACTGCTGACACAAAAGGGAAGAGAAAAGGTCATCCCAGTACCAGAGGCACCGGGAATGACGAGAGTGCAGCAGAACGAGATCAGCCAACGGACAATCCCGGTACCAGAGGCACCGGAGAAGAAAAGCGAAAGTGTAAACGTCAAAAAAGTTAACGAAAGGAAAAAGGAACCGCTTGCGCTAGACACGGATGAGGCGATCATATTTCTCCCGGACGGGAGAAGTATGATCGCAGAAGACTGTGAACAAGGAGCCCCAGAAAAGGAACGTGTTGAAAAAGTCATCCCAGTACCAGAGGCACTGGGAAAGAAATTTGAAAGGTCACCGGCGATAAGAGTAGAGCGTACTCCGAATTTCTTCGAACCTCGATCTGCTACCCAAAATGAAAGGCTACCAGATGAAGCCAAAGAAGAAGTAACAGAACGTGACCCTCAAAAGGAACCCTTTTTCGAACCACACTCTGTTACCAATGACGAAAGGTCACCAACACTCGAAGAGATAGCTGCCACACAGAAAGAAGCGGCGGTCGCAGCGAAACAATCGCTCGTGCCAGGCATGGAGTGGGCAAAGCCTATCCCAGTACCAGAGGCACTGGGAATAAAGACAGCCAAAGCGGGGAAGGATAAAAAGAGTGAAAAGTTACGGATATTGAAACGAATAGCTGAAGAAGAACAGATGTTCGCGAGCGAAATCCGCAATAAAGCACATGAGCAGTTGAAAGGTCACCAACTGAATAATGGAACGGAGATTATTGAAATACCCTCAGACGAAGCGAGTGTAACCCAAATTGAATGCGAGCAAGATGCCACAACACAGCAGAAGGTGGTTGCCAACCCGCAAACGAACCGAAGGATATTAACTCCAGAAGAACGAATGGGGAGTTGCGGACACGGTTACTACGAGGATCCGTGTAGAGTGCAACCACAATGGGAATGCACTGAATGTTGCCAAAGCGCCTCCCAAGATGACCTTTCAGAATGGCCGCGATGTAACGCTGCATTAGCAGACCTTAAAGGTCACGTCCAAAGAGAAGTGAAAAGCATCATGCGGACAAACGAAATGTGGAAACCACACATCGAGCGGTACCATTGGAACAGATATCGAACTTGGTTGTCATGCGTAAAAAACTTTATTACGGGGAGAGGGAAATGGCTAAACCATTGGCAGCAACGTGCGGATAACGGAATCCAAGATCCCTTTGATCCGGTAAAAACGGAACGGAAACTCGAACGAGAGATAGACGTAATGAACGAAGAAGTACAGCTATGGGAAGAAGCGAGAATAGAACTGTTCTGGGACTTTCGCATAAACCATATGTACAAAGGTCAAGGGAGAACAGTCATATTCCCAACAGGACTTGGCATACCGGTATATGAATCGGTGGTGGTATTCTGTAAAGCACTCAAAGATGATAACTGGCAGATATTCGACAAATACTGGAGGAAATTCGAAGCGGAGATTCCAATATTCGACGCAAAGGAGATGCGCGAATTGCAAGTAACCCGGAAAAGAAGGTTACCGGGATTGATGGAGAAGAAAAAGGTGACCTTTGCACCAGATCCAGATGGAGTCGACTACCCAGAACGAGGTGGTGATACGTGGTACATGTACGAAACGATTCCGTGTGATGACTGGGTCACCGAAGAGCTGATGGCAAATTGTGTCTTCGTTGGTCCCAAACGACCGAAAGGTTATGAAACGGTCCAACAGGTTGAAGTTGATAAAGAGACTGTAAAACAAGCAGAGAAGGAGGAAGCAGTTAAAGAGACAGCTGAAGGAAGATCGAACGAAACAGAAGAAAGCTCAAAATCGGCCTTCGACATTGCACAGATGTTAACGGGCAGAGAAGAAATGTGGAAGAAGTTTAAAGAGGAAGTCGAAAGGATATCGAATGAACAGCAAAACCCAGTAACTGAGGCAAAAAACGGGGAAAGGTCACTCGATAACGGTGAGGAATGTCCGCCGGTCGAGTTGACCGAAAAGCCGGTAATGAGCCCCGAAGAAATTGATGAGTTGGAGGAGTCAAAATTGGAAGGAGAAAGGTCAAACTCCGATCAATTGGAAAGGTCACCAACGAGAATTCGGGTAGCGAGGAGTCACCCGAGAATCGCCGCACGAAATGGGCGCAAGGCAAAGGAAGCGGATAAACCTCTGCCCGAAAAATCGAAAGCGAAAAAACTTAGCGATTTGCGAGAAAACGAAAGTGACCTTTCATCAGAAGACGAAGGAGTTGATGAGCGTCCACTTGAAAAGGCTGACAAAGGTCAAGCCGCTGCACAAGAATACGAGAGCAGCGATTCGGACTCGGAATGGACGAGTTCAAGTGATAACTCAACGACTTCGGAAGATTCAGGTGTAAGTGACCTTTCAGAACAAGAGGACTTAATGAATCTGGATGAAGATGACGAAGTGGACGAA